ATCTATGAGCTCACCATCGATTTTCCGCGCCACAGACGCCCAAAGCAAGCTTTTGCGATGCATGCCAAGCAATTACTACCTCTGCCAAGCAATCATTAGCGCGACGTGATGACGAACGGGCGTGGCAGTTGTGTGGCTGCGACCCACTCATAATCTCCAGCCTGCAACCCGCGCATGTCAGGGAAAGATTCGCGCACAGATTGTGGCATGCGGATGACGGCTCCAAAAAAGGGCGACGTGGCTTTAATGCTGATCAATTGTTGAAACAAGACCCTGAAAACATAAGTAGGTTGTCAAGGGGCTTGAAGCTTATCCCGCTGTACTTGGGGTCTTTCTATAGCACGGATATGAATGACTTCTACATATATATTCTATACCTTGCAAATACAAACTTTCTTATATCTAGTTTAATCGTTCTCTCTTAAGAGTCACTACACATAATCTACATTTCACAGCCTAACGTATAAGTCCGCGTTGCAGCACACAACCTATGCAAGACTACACATATATTTGTGAAGCAATACATAAAAATCGAATTGCCCTTACTTCCCATTTAGTATCAATTTTAACTTTACTCAACATCTCCTGCCATAATGCCGCCACAATCTATTTCTATCCCCTCCATCACATGCACCCACGGCCCCTTACATAATCACAAACAGGCCGCAATGCGCTCAACGCGTATGCCTTACCACAATCCACACCCAATCTGAATACTTGCCCAAACAGGTAACTGGTATACCACAGCCCACCGGGCTATACTGGTACCAAACTCGCGCGCAGCAACTCTAGCTTTCCTGCACATGACCAAATGCGCCATAATTTACACCAACTTGCACTACTTTCGAAAAGAGGAAAGCTCCTACCATAATGCCTTGGAAGTGCAAGGAATAAAAGGACGTGCGTGCGGTAGCTGCCAGATTACTAGAATCCACACCTAAGAGAATCCGTAACTTGCCTATTGCAGTAAAACATCTATGACTAAAGAAATAATTTGATAGGGAGGAAAGGTGGAAAAAATTATATCATCTATCATCTGCAGACTATAGCAATCTGCGATGCTTACGTAGAAAGTATACGCAAGACTTTGACGATTGGAAGAATTGATACACGTGAGGATATTCATTAGGAGCAGGTTACTTGGAACATGTTGGTATATATCAATGCGATGTTATTGCAAATCAATTGCGGTGACCCTAAGTGGTTTTCGTTGCAATTCAACTACAAGTCCTCATGCTTCTTCCTCATCATCCACAGGCAGCACTTCATCTCTACTCAACCCTATTTCTTCGCCCACTCTCCTTACCACCTCTTTGATAGCCGCACAAGCCGGACTATCAGGATATGCCGTCAAAAAACTCTCGCCAAAATCACATGCCATGCCTATCCTCGGGTCCAGGGGCACCGCGCCCAAGAAAGGGATGTTCTGATCTTTAGCCAATTTTGCTGCACCACCGGTACTCGCCCTGAAGATATGGCTTTCATGTTTACATCCAGGACACACAAATCCACTCATGTTCTCCACAATCCCCAGGATAGCTATACCCGCTTTCCGGCAAAAGTCAATCTCCTTCCTCACATCTAGTAGCGACACTTCCTGCGGTGTGGAAACAAGAACTGCGCCGTCGACGCCAGAGGCTTTGAGGAACGAATTTACGGACAAGTGTTCGTCGGAGGTGCCCGGGGGCGTGTCAACGACGAGGAAGTCTAGTTCGCCCCATGTCACGTCCATGAGAAACTTCTTGATGAGGCCGTTCTTCTTTGCGCCGCGCCAGATTACGGCGTCGTCGCGGTTCGGTAGCATAAACTGTACACTCATGACACCGAGGTTCTCGCTAACCCATACGGGTTCCCATCCTTCTCCGCTGACATGTATGGTTTCATCCTCTACGCCCATCATCTTTGGTATGCTTGGCCCGCAGATATCCGTATCCATGAGACCGACGGTCGAGGATGGGTTTGATGCGAATCCGTGCGACAGCATGGTGCTGAAGGTTGACTTGCCGACACCGCCCTTGCCCGAAAGAACGAGGATTTTATGCTTGACCGAGGAGAGGCGGGCGGTTATAATGGGTATGTCGGGATCTGGGCCTTTCGGCGCGGACGCGCATATCGACTGGTTAGGACATCCTGCGCATGAGTCTGCTTGACCTGCTGTAGCAGATTCAGGACCTGGGCAGTGCTCTATGAATGTTGTCAGTCGTCAGTCGTCACATGAATGATGGAGTGCGACGCCGAGGGGTGGCGGGGCAGACGTACCAGGCTCAGGCGCAACGAGCTTTGGTGCTGCTTTCAAAGGCGCTTCGAAATCAACCTGTACTGGCTCTTCTAGTGAGGGTACCATAGCTTGTGTAATTGCGAGGGGCGAAATGTGAGGGCTACATCGTTGCATGCGGAGAGAAAGACCTGGAGGCTTGATAATCAGCATCCGCGGGTAGGCCTGCAAGTCTTGGCAATTTGCCCCACAATCGCCCGACTACCGGGCGCGAGTCTCAAGCTCCACCTTTGACTTCATCAAGGAACAAGACAAGGTGTCGATTGAAAGGTTCTATTCATGCAAGCTATGCTCGTCTATACATATCATTCAGCGGATACCCAATCCCTTATCTCATCACTCAATCTTCGTGGTCCAAGTAGACGAAAGTCTACTTCAACTTGACCATCACGTACGGTATCTCAACATCCTCCTCCTTCTGGTCCTCGGCTGTGATCTCGAAGATGACGTTCTTCTGGTGGTCCGGTACAGGCTTCTTACTTACGTGCTCAACGAGCTTGCTCATCCTGGACTTTGTTAGTATTTGTATAAACGATAAAAATGTAGATACTTGCGTAAGAGGCATCCTATCCTTTAGCTTGCTGGGAGGATAGAAAGATGCGTAAAGTAGGCTGACACCGGAGCTGATCATCTGAATCGAGAGACCCTTCTTCTCAAAGTGCGCCACAAAGTCCTTCAGTGGGATGTCGTCTACTTCGAAACGATCCCATAGCTTGTCAATCGTGACCTCGCCATCATGCCCTTGGTAAGTACCCTTCGGGCTTGCAATTGGCTCGCTAAAGCCGAAGAATGGAAGTGCCAAGTTAATGAAGCCGTTCTTGTACTGCTCAATGTCGGTCTTGCCATCGATGATCTTGTACAGTTCAAGGTTGACAAGGCCGGTGACCAGTGCTGTAGTGGTCGCAATGGCAGGGATAATCTTTCCAGCAATGAACTTCGTCTTGTGTCGGTCTGCTTGCTCAATCTTGTAGTTCTCCGCACGAAGGTTGCTGGCGGCAGTGATGAAGTCGATGTGATGATTGGTGTCATCATCCTTCTCGAACTCTACAGGCTCAAGCTTGAATCCAGCGAGCGACTTCGGTGCTGGAAGCTGGTTGATAATGCTGTCGAGCGATCCACTATCGTCGCCGCCAGCCTGGTTGGCGTTTGGATCTGGCTCCTTCTCGTCGGCTTGAATCTTTACGGTAGGATCGGGTTGGAAGTCGGGAACAATCATGTCATTGAGCACTTCGACGTAGTGTTCCCGAGACGCATTTGGCTTGATACCATAGTTGTACGCGTGTAGAGTAGCAGCTGCTTCGACATATGTGAAATGGGTTGGGTTTGAAGGGTCAAACTTGGATGGGTCAGGCGCACGCTTTGGTCCTGACCAGAATGGCTGACCAGATCCCGTCTTGGAGTCCTTGGGGAAATTGTAAAGCAATTGCGCGATGGCGTGGTTGTAGTTCTTCTCGAACTGATGGCGAGCCCAGACAATGCAGTCATCAAAAGACAGCGGCTTCTCGGTCACCAAGAAGTCTCGCAGAGTCTCCAGAGTCTGCTTCTCATTTCCAGACTGCTTCAGTGATGCGCCAAGGTAATCAGGCTGCGTCAGATACAGGTTGACGATTTCGGGTCCCTTGACGAACAGAGAATCAAACGACTCCCGCGCCCACGCAATGGTGTGCTCAATTCGGTTGGGGAAACTCCTCAGTGTGCACATGGGGAAAGACTTCTCCGGTGGATCTTGTGACGAGGAATAAGACTCTGTGATAAATGGCAGGACAACCTGGGTGTTGCCCTTGGTACCAAGAGTGCCGCTATCGAGCAGAGGCTTGCGGAAGAACACACATCGACGATCAACATATGTACGTGCCTCTACGTTGTCGAGTGCGTTTGTGACTCCGTCCAGCGAGTTCCAGAACTCCTCGTTGAAGATATGCTCGGTCTCAGGACCGACCTTGTCTTGCAAGGTAACAATCTTCCCACTGAGGTCGGGGTTCATGACTTGTACAGCCTTTGCTGCAGCGTCGCTCTTTAGCTTGCCAACGTCGGCCGGTCGGAATAAGAACTGTCGGTTAAGATTGCTCTTCTCGATCTGGTCGTTATCGGTTACGGTGATCTTGCCTTCGGGCCCAGTGCCTAGACCCATCATTGCCCAGTTCTTCAGCATCTCGCAGCCAATGGCACCCGCACCAACGAGGAACTGTTTGACATTGCTGAGTTTCTTCTGGTATTCCTGACCCAAGACAGCGATTTGACCATCATAACGTGAGCCAATCGGCGCGCACTGCTCTTCCGAACGGGTTGTCGATGTTGGGAGAGACTCTAGCGAGTCAAAGTAGAGGAACTGAACGATGGGGTGGAACTTTCCGGACACAGATTTCAAGACTTCCTGCGCAGCCATACCACCAAAGAATGCAGCGACCGGGCTGAGGTCACCGCGAGCTTGGTAACTGAGTTCCTTGATGAGCTTCTCATCCAGCTCGACCTTCTCCTCCCCTTGAGCTGCGATTTCCTGCGCAATCTTGAAGAGCTCAGTCGCATCAGCCTCGTGGTGAGGGCGTGGGAACTCGCCCTTGTGAAGGCTTGCGAACTTGTGAAGGGCATGAATACCAACGTGCAGCTGTTGTGGTCGGTCGAACTTGGCGAAGTCGGAAATGAGGAGCTCGGGCTTCTTCAGCTGCTTGCTGAAAGGCTCAAAGTTAATAATCTTTGGCATCTTGACCTGGATGAACTGGCCACCTTTCTTGTACTCTCCCAACCCAGATACATCGCCAATAGAGAAGGTGTAGGGTCCCTTGACCTCAATTTTGCGAGGTGCACAACCGTTCAGGCCCTCCATACCCTCGACCTCTGAGAATGTGACCCAGTCGCCATCTTCAAGACCGTGCCTTGTCTCATCCAATGCTGAGACGATACCCTCCTCATCAATACCAGCGATGATACCGGTGCTAACGTTCTCGCCGGTTGGGTCGCCAACGGTGAAGTTCTTGCCGAAATCAGTGAAGATTGTGCCGAACAGACCATATGTGTCGGTGATGACAATGAAGATGCCGTTATCATGGCAATAGTCTGCGATCTTGATCTGATCTTCAAGCGCAGTGTCGGTCAGTACAATGACCTGGAACTGCTTCAACTGCGACAGGTCTGATGTCAAATCCCCACCGCTGTATTCCTGGACGGGTGTGTATGGGTTGAGTTCGGAGACTTTGGGTACGGTGGCGGAGGCGCGCGGCTTCCCTACATCGGCGGGTGTGAGGAAGAACTGTGACGACAAATCGGCGAGAGCGGCGGGCTTGGGGTCGTAGAGCGTCAGCGACTTGACACCGGCCAGGGCGATGTTTTTTGCGATCTCAACACCAAGACCTCGTAGACCAGCCACGAGGACGTTGGATGAGCCCATACGCTTCATGGCCTCGTGGCCCAGCACATACAGCTGTCGGCTGTAGAGGGACTCGTCGATTTCGCCATTGTTGCCGGATGCCTCCTTGAGCTGTTCGATAGCAGTGGCAGGACTGTCGACCTGCATTTTTTCCTAGGATATATTAGCCATACTTGAAAGCGACATGCATAGCCATGCACGAGACATAGGAGACTCGGTGTCCGCCAATGGTCGGCTGCACCCATGCAGGGCGCATCCAACAGCAACATTGTATCAGTCACAAGGCAAGGCGCACTTACTGTCATGACTTTATCTCTCTTGCTGGGACGAGTGTCCTCGTCGCTCCGATGTCTCTTCCCCAGTTTGCCGGCTGTTGCGAAGCCTGTAAGCTGTCAAGTGTGGCGGTTGCGGGCGCCTCGTGTATCGCGGGGTAGTCTTGATGATGCAGTCGTGAAGTGTAGACAAACAAGGTCAACTGGATTGTCTACTGTGGTTGAGTTGATATGTGAAGGGTGTAAATGGAGAGTCTAGAGAAGCAGGCAGCGCGGGTATTACGTGAGTACTTGTCACAGGGAAGGTGCTGGAGCTCCACACTAGCGCGCCATCCCACTTTATTCTTGGCACTCGCGATCGTCATCGCCTTTCTAAGCAACTCGCGAGTACACTTGATCAGTCAAGGTGCTTCGCTATTTTTCTAGTATGCTCCGACCTGGTTGGTGTTGTTTTCCAACTATCAATAATGAGCAAATGGATAACTCCACGGCGTCGTTTCCATTCTACTGTCATTTCACAGAATACACATGCCTATGTTAGTACTCTACAGTTTTCTGTAAAAATCGAACAATCAATGTGGCACAATTGGTTCATCATGGTGTAAAAATCATCATCGTTGTATTCACAGCCCTCACGGCTTTCTCCAACATCCATGTACATGATCCCGTATCTCGTGTTTTTTGCATACCGTTCAATGCTTCATTCTCATTAATCCATAATCACCGCCACTCGTAGTAACACATTCAGTCGCTCGTTCGTTGACGCTGGAAGAAAATACCGTAAAACGCCGTCTGGGCCAAGTTGCAGCCAGAACATTAATCAGCAGAAAGAAGAAAACCACCCCTTAGGGTACTCGCGGAAACTCGACACGCAAAGAAGCGAAAAAGTTGTACAAGAGAAAGACGTCCACAACGCTGAGCCGATCATCGTCTTGACGAGTGGTGTGTTCGGCGAGTGTGGCGATCCGAAGAGCTTGCGCTGCCTAGGTGGTTGTTAGCATTATGCTGATAATTCGGGCCGACGGGATTACTTACTTGTGCTTGTGTAGTCGCTGTACATGTACGACGTTCCACTGACAGTGGTGCTCTTGTCTTCGGCCTTTGCATCGTGTCTCCTCTTCAAGCCCAGCGCAAGAGCCAATCCACCCAGACCGGCCGCAAGACCAAGGCCCTTCTTCGCACCACCGTGCTTTTCAGAGCCGGCGCGCGATGGACGGGCAGGTCGGGCAGCGCCGTACCAGCGGCCACCACCAGCAGCAGCGCTACCACCGCTGTGGTGGTGCTCCTCAATGTATGTCTCCTCGTGAGTGTGCTTGCGCTTCTTGCCAATGCCGAAGATGGCGAGCAGGGTGTCGAAGAGGGCGCGTGCGCAGCAGAAGAGGCAGAGGAGCAGAAGGAGCAATATGCCGAGAATGACACCAATGACGATACCGGCAATTGCGCCTCCGCTGAGGCCATTGTTGCTTTCCTGAGTTGGGACCAGGCTGCCGGAAGCGCCCGTAGGAATTGGCGTCTGGAAGGGTACTGTGACAGTCGGGGTGCCGGTGTATGTGACTACAACGATTCCTGAGCTGGTAGGTCGAAGAGGAGCAGAGGGGGCCAACGTACCGGTAGGCACAATGCCTCCTGAGCTCCCACCAGCGATCAAGGCACACTGGCCGGCAGTGAGGCAGTAGTAGCCCGAATCGCAACAGGTGGAGCCACAGGGATTTTGTGAGTCTTTGCATGTCTGTGTCGCAGTCGCGGGGACATAGGTGCTGAAGACGGATGTCTTGGTCAACAGGCCGACCGTCTCAACGTAAGTCGTCGTGTGGTATTGCCAGTATCCTCCTGCGCCAGCAGCTGGGGTTGCAGCACCACCGCACTGCGCCTGGTTGCTGGCATCAGTGTAGCATGTTGTGCCTGTAGGGCAGCAGAGCCAGCCCTCAAAACCACAGGGATTGGCGCACTTTTCTTGTCTCCCAATTAATTGCGACGAGTTGTGAAAACCCAAAAGTTCTTCTTGATGGACTGGGTACCGGTATGGCTTCGCAAAGGTAGAGGGAAGATATGCGAAAGCGACAAGGCCGAGGGCGGCGGGCGGCGCATGGAAAAGACGCATGATTGTGAGCGAAAGATGCAAACAGGCGCAGAAACGACTGCGATTGGAATGTATCTGTTTGCAGAAAGCGGAAAGACGCGACACTCTGTCGTCGGAAGCGGTGAATGGGTGGGTAGCTGCGGGGTCGATCTGTTGGCTAGCGTGCAGCTCCGGGGAATGCGATGACTGGCCGGCGCGTGTACGACGTGAACGGTCCGCAATAAAAGTAAAACAAAAAGTCAGTATCGATCAAGTACAGAATGCGTGGGAAATGGGTGGGAAGATGGGAGCAAGCGTGCAAGACGAGGGCTGGTAGAAAAGGGTACACTTAGAATATGCGTGAGGTTGGGGGACTACGCAAGCCGGTGGTTGGGTACGAGGTGGGTGGTTGGGGAAGCCGCTCCAACACCGGTATGCACTTGCGCCAATTGTCGGGAAACCTGTCACTATCCTTGTAGACGTTGTCGTGTTCCTGGCCGTGATTTATTTTTACTCTGGGGTGTGGTCTAGAAAGCCTAGAAAGATGCAGTTGGTGGTGTGCTGTCAGGCGCTTCTATGCCACGTTCGTTTACTTTTGATACTTGACTACAAGCCCGCCCGTTCACCGAGCAACCACGGCGCGGGCATCATCCTCTTCAGTCTACGCACGTTCGCCAGCACCATCCGTCATGCAATTTCCACCGCCACGCTGGCCGGAGCCCACTCGCACATGCGGTGTATGGTAGTTGTGATTTTGTAATTGCCGGTACAGTTCATGCGCCTACACCGTAGAATCGACGGCCGTAGTCGTTCATTCCTCCGCGTCACCCCACCACGCGTCGCGAACTCTATGCACGAGAGCTGCTAACTTTGTCTTTCTATTTGTCTACTCTCTCTTCGCCATGTGCGAATCGCAGTCGACATCTTCTCCAGCATGTCGCACAGCCCCGTCACATACGCGCAAGTACCTCAGCACTATCCAACCTATACTCCCGCACCAGCATCTCGCTTGCCCTCTGCGCAATTACATACGCCGTGGCCTGGGTATGATTGTTTGTTGTAACCGGCGCAACGCTCATGTCCACTACTCTTAGCCCCTCCACCCCTCTCACCCTAAAACCCTTGTCTACCACCGCGCCCTCATCCCCGTCTTTGCCCATCCTACACGTTCCCCCGGCATGCCACACCGTTGACGCATTTTCCCTCGCAAAAGCATCTACATCGGCATCATCCATGCTGTTTGGACCCAGGATGGTGCGCACAACGTGCGGTGCGATAACCCGTGATGACGTCAATTTCGTCCAAGTCTCTCGTATAGCTTCGCGGAAGATGCGCTTGTCGTAGGGGTGCGTGAGGTAGTTTAGCTTGATGACAGGCTTATCTTCTGCCTTGGCCGAGCGTAGCGTAATGGAGCCAGTTGATTGCGGGTTCATGAGGAAAGCGATGAATGTCAAGTACGTGTTTCCCGACTCGAGTTGTGTGCCTGGTGGCCAGAGCGTGCTGTTCGCAATGAACTCGAACGTTGGCACCTTGTCTTTCGTCAGATATTCTTGCACGTCTTTTGGCAAATTTTCGAACTCTTTCAACTTCTCCAGCCCAGGTAACTTGACAAACCCACCCCACAGACCCGAATTTTGGAGCGCAAAAGCTCCCGTCTGGTCCTTTTCCCATGCAGCCTCTGCTTCGGCCATGAGCTTTTCGTTGGATTCAAAGGCGTATCTGTCATTAATTGAGCCGCCAACCTCGACTGACATGAAAGTCAGGACGTGGTCGTGGAGTCCTTTGCCTACGCCTGGCAGATTCACTTTGACATCGATACCGAGAGGACTAAGTTCATCGGCAGGGCCGATGCCGTTTAGCAAGAGGAGCTTTGGTGTGTCAATTGCGCCACCGCAGATGATGACTTCTTTCTTCGCAGTCGCTGCCAAAAGTTAGCATTCTATCATCTAAACATGTTCCAGATCAACCTACCGTTCCGGCCATCCTCCGTGACGATCCCGACAACCTTCTTCCCCGCCCAAACAAACTTCGCCACCTTCGCATCTGTCCAAATATGCACGTTTTCCGGTGCATCCAGCAAATGTGCAGTTGCACTCGTAGTCTTCCCTTGGCGAGAATAACTACTCGGAAAGATGCCCACTCCGACCGGATCCCCCGAGTTCAAGTCCAGATTTACCTTCCACCCCTCTTTTACCAGCGCCTCTATCTGTGGCTCTGCACCGCCCTCCAACTCTTTTGGCAACCCTACTTCCACATTCCCAGCCGTGCCATGCGGGTTGGTGCTCGGATCAGCGAGATGCTTGTACCCCTTTGAGCCCTCAAAATCGTAATTCTCAATTTTGCCAAACGATTTATGCACAGTTTCCCAGCTCCATTCTCCCTCTTCATCTCCAACAAATTCAGCCCACCGATTGTAGTCTTCACTACTTCCATACAGGTACACAGCGAAGTTCAGTATCGAACTCCCGCCAAGTCCTTTGCCTCGTGTATACGGTATCTGCCGTCCGTTGAGTCCGGGCTCCGGCTCGGAGACGTATCCGTGGTCAAGATCTGGACGCATAGCTTGCGCATGGTATCTGTGGAAAGGAGCGCTCAGGTAGGCGCCCGAAGGCTTAGATCCAGCTTCGAGGAGGAGCACAGAGGGCTTCTTTGCAGAGTGCGAGAGCCGATGTGCGAGGAGACAACCTGCCGTTCCGGCTACAAAGTACTATGTTAGTCGTGAGGTGGAACAAGGGGTCACATAGAGAGTCTGACCACCGACGATGATAAAGTCATAGGATTGTTGTGCCATTGTTTTTCCAACTGATAAACAAATCTCGTCATTCGAAAAAGAAAGAGAACGCTGAATACGAAGTGCCAGTCTTTTATAACTTTCCCTGCTCCGCCTCCGGCCATTGCTAAGACGGGTGCACCACCAGGCTGAGTAAACTACATTAGTATGCATGTACGCCTCTTCCCCTTTTGGTCACTTCCCTCTTCCGATTGCGACGCCCCTTCCGCCCAACCCCACTACACCTTACGTTCCGCTGCAACCTGAGAACTTTCAAAGGCCTAATACTCATGCATATTGTGTAACCGAATCAAGGCAATGAGGAGTGTACCAGCTGAGCTTTTCGAGTGTTGGCACAGTAAGATGGGCTAATGGTGGGGGTGAGTCAGCAGTACCTAATATGCCGGTTCAGGTTCCCCACATGACGCTAGTAGGTTTGTTGGGGTAGTGTGGTAGCTACTTCCCGAGGTCATTCCCGATGCCTGTTTGGTTTCGCGTCGCGGTATAGATAAGATGGGTGACCCGGAGGTTTTCGATGAAATTGAATATTCCCGATGCCGTCTTCTGAGCGCATCGAAGGTTCTACAGAAACTCCACTGAAAACTATATGGTAATCAGAGGGGTTTGCCATATAACAAATTGCTACTTGACTGCAGCCGTCTCTGGTCTTGCAACCAAATCCCGACTATCTACCCCCGAAAGCCGAGTGCCCTCATGAAGCGTGACCGTCGTCGTCGACATCAAACTCGCAGGAATACCAGTTCTCATCCAGTCCGGCCTTCGGAACCCTTTCTTCCCGCCGCTCATCTCTCCATCATGTGATAATCCCCGCTCGACATCCCTCGCCTCTGCTCTTCTCCCACTACCACTGCCATCACCCCCACGTCCCCATCCAGCCTTCCCAAAGCAACCCCTCGCAATGCATCCCCTCAAATCCGGCAATGAAGCTGCTACGATCCCGAAACAGATCTGCACTGCAACCAGCACATTAACTTTTCCCCCAAAGTACTCTCCGTCCTCTTCTCTCCGCCGCAACACTGGAATCTGAAGCAACGCCACTACGCAAACGACAAAACCCAATCCAAACACTAGTATCAGACCCAACCGCTTCTTTAACCCCAACTTGGAAAGCTGCCATACATATGGTAGCGGCAGCGCGAAGATGAGACTATCGACTACGCTGTCACCAATGGCAGCGGAGTAGCTGTATACCAGCGAGCTGAAACACGATGAGCCATGAAAGGAGCGCCAGTGTGATGACCAGAGTAAGGCGATATCTTTGCAGAAGAGGGAGAGAACAGTGAGGACTTGGATGAAGTGGAGGAGCGAAAGTAGTATCAGGATATAAGAGAGGGGGCGCAGGAACGAGAGGGACGGGGGGAAGATGCGTAGGTAGTAGGTTAAGATTGAGAGGCGGGTAAGCGTTGCGGCGAGAAGGTAAAAGAGGCGGCGGGTGAAGATGTGCTGGGTGGCGAGGTTAGTGATGGCCATGTTTGATAGAAGGGGTGATGTACTTGATAGTAAGGTATTTCAGATATGCGGTCTGGACTTGAAGCGTTGTTAGAACAGTAATTTTTCGATAAAAGCAACATGCACTCACCCTTTGCGGTCATACCCCCATTCATCATCCGCACTCATGCAGGAGATTACTGTGCGAGCAAGCGCTGCAGCCTGCGTTTTGTCAGCTTCAATCTTTAACAAAGATTGACTAAAGTCTCCAACAAGCAAGTCTTTGGGTTGCATGTACCGTGCCCAATATGATCAGGATGTCATCTAGCGCCAACTTCCTCTTAACCGCAAACCTCGAATATACCCTCAGAACAACCGTAAAAAAAGCCAACAACATAAGTGGTACTTCAATCGCCAATGTAGTCTCCATATTGCTGCTCTCGTCCCCGGCGATCATCTCAGTGGTGATGTCGTAGTTGCGTGTTTAGCGTATGTAGTACAATTCAAGCAATAAGATTATTGTCGTGGTGCACTTAAGCCAAACAATCGGCAAAACATTAATCATTACTGATATTACTGGTAAGATGTAGCAAAGAGAAAAGAATACAAAGATGAAGACGACATGTTTTGATGCAAATGTCTGTGTTCGTCTAGCCGATAGCTGACGTGCTGTTGGAAGCTTACTGAGCATGCTTGCGTAGGCTGTCACCAATGAACTCACGCCATTGAGCATGCACCCATATAGATTCAGCTTGGCGATGGGATGCTGACATTATGCTCGTATAGTTACCCCGCGATATGGAGGACCGGTGTAAATTAGGAAACTTGCGAATTCATAGCGTGAAAAGCTATGCTAAGATGGCGTAGAGATAGGTATTGATAACGGAGACATGTACACTACTAGGTTCACCTATGGAGAAAGCTCATGTTAGGGTTTAATTTAGAAAACACCTTCGATCTTCTCCGTCTGGTTGAAGTCATACGCGTTGCCATAAGGCCGATTCAAGTAGTTTTTCAGCAACTGCTCACTTGGAACGTATGTGCCGGCAACCCGCAGTCCTGTCTTCTCGAGCGAAAGTTCCTCTTCCAGCTCTTCCGCAAACTCTACTTGCATCTGATTACGGTACCAGGGCGCAAAGTGTACTGTCAAGGGTGAGCTTAACGGTCACTTGGTATAAAGTCAAAACTTACTCATTGCGAGCATCACTCTTGGGGTTTGTGTAAGATTGGGCTTGCCTCCGTGCCAGAGTCTCAAGTCGCGGATGATGATACTCCCTTTCTTGACTACTGGCTGCGTTGGTGGTCTGACCTCCCTGCGAGCGTCGAGCAGATGCTTCTTGATTCTTCCACTGGCACGGTCACCGTGTTCGCCCTCTTGATCGGCAAGAGTAGTACCGTCGTGAGTTCCAAGCCAGACCTCTGTTGACCCATTCTCCGGAGTCATGGTCACCAGAGGGACGTTGACGACTAGAGCAAACGGAATTGATGGATGATCAAAATCAGCGTCATTGTGGGTTGGTTGGGAGGCAGGTGGCGACGACGCTGTTGGAGGTAGAGCAGTATTTCCGGACACAAAGCGCAACGACGGCTTAGGGCCCAACATAGTGGATGTGACATGAGTAACGATTGGGTCTGCAACATTAGCAAGCGTTTGTGGAGTTCCAGTGTAGTTGGAGATGAGAACTTACTGACGTAGATATCTTTGCTGAACCATTCCTTAGTCATGGGAGGATCCTGCTGAATGTTGCCTTTGTTGTAATTGAAAGGACTGTCCTCCCTTGCCTGAAGTTCGTAGGCATCCTCGACCATCTTCTTGTTCAGTCTATCCAGAACTGCATGGTCAACCATGTTTTCCAACACTACAAGGCCGTCACGGAAGAGAGCTCGGATCGCTATCTCGAGATTGCGTTGTCCGAGTTCACCATTCTCCAGCTCGGATGCTGTGGGTGCAATGGAGACGGGAATCGACGGAATATTCGGAGACATGGTGAAACCGAGAGTTGATGGCTGGTGAGGGAGAGAAAGCGGCTGCGACAGGGTATACAACTTGATAAAAGGGTGATGGATATGTCAATAATTCTATGCAGACACATCACTTTATATCTCATGTCCTGTTCGGGGCGGCATGGCTATGTTCAGCAGAAAGCGGAAGTCTGTAAATAGCCTAGTGACATAAATCAGCGCTAAACCCTTTACAGTACTGCAGCCGTCTGTGGAGAAGCTGGGCGTACCTCGTATACCCTCGTGATGCGGGAAGCTCCTGCTTCGATGTCGGAATAGAAGACTGCCAGTGCAAGGCCAAGGTAGTTCCGACAGTCATAAGTCGAGAACTTTGCGGATGGCCTGGATGAAGTAGGGGCTCCGTCTCGGATCTTCTACTACGGCGTAACTACGCTGAAGCAAACTTGTGTCCCCACAATTGCTGCGAGAATCAATCCCATCTCTTTCCAGGAGTGGCAGAGAGAAATTATAGTTCCGAATGAAGGAGCAGTCACGCGTAGGCCTCCGAGCGGCGTATTATGATCTGCCAAGGACGATCACAGCGCCTGGTCAGAGATACTCTTGTGCTGACTCTGAAGTGATAGCCCGATACGGATATGCTCGACGAGGCAGGGGATTGAGGGCAGCGCGAAACTTATCCGCTCTATGTATGCCATGGTTGTGACGCGTGTCCAAGACGTGTACTGTCAACGTACAGGATCTTATGCCAGAGCGCAATGAAATGTAATGTACCAGGGGTATTTGGGGGAAGAAAGGACAAAATACCGAATTAATTACGTATAAGTCTTTTGGTTGTAAAAGGTGAATGCGAGCAGGCACGAAGGGAGCGGGTCGCGAATTACAGCAATGGGCAGGTGGTCTGGTGACAAGGATGGAGTTGGGTAAAAAGGCGGAAAGCGGCATGACGCCAAACGTCAGGAAGCCAGGGCCAACATCTCTCCACAATGTTTCCGACCCAGGCCCTCAGGCCCACGAAACGATCAACACTCTCTAATCTAAACCCCCAGCACTGCCTCTGTCCAAATAGCAGTTACCGTCTACTTCTTTCTGTCGCAGTGACATAGCCACACACGTCTTAGACATCAGTTTAATTGGATGATTTGAATTGCACATCACGCGTCTGCCCTCGCGCGGCCGACACAACAGCCCACCCGCTTCGCCTCGAACGTCAAAGTCCGCCCTACCGCCCATTCAAGGCACTCGTCCGAAGGCCACTCTCATACGATTCCCATAGGATTTCCATTGGTATTCTGAGCCGCAGTTTCCAAACAACATAGCAACCTCACACACATCGCCGCCATGCCGTCGCAACGTCGCATGAGGTTCTTTACAATCCTCATTGTCACCATAATTGTCGTTTTATTCTACATGTCCAGAGCAGCCAAGGAAACACAAACATCAGACTTTTACACAAAGACCCAACAAGCCTTACAGGAGAAGGAATATGCTCAAGCCGCGAAACAACGCAATGCAGACAGCATTGGATCGCGACTGAAAGCCGCCGAGGTGGAAGCCAAAAAGGCCACCAAAGACAAGGACACATACCACAGGGTCGCGGTCGAGGGACCAGATTCCAAGAGCGTCGCAGGCAGAGTCAAGGTGGATGGCGAGAGAGTCCCCGGCGTCGCACAGCAAGGCGGTCGACCACGCGACCAGGCGGCCATAAAGGAGCACGAGACGCCTGAAGAACACGAGGTCGAGATGGAATTGAATGCCATCTTGAAGAAGAGTCCTGGTATTTTAGACACTTGCATGTCTTGGTATGCGCACCTGCTAACCCGTTGTAGTCATTGTGTTTTCAAAGTCCTACTGCCCACACTCGAAGAAGGCGAAGCACATTCTGCTCGAAAAGTATACCATCAAGCCCGAGCCCTACGTCGTTGAGCTCGACACCAATCCAATCGGCCAGCAACTACAGGCCTTCCTACACAAGTCGACCGGTCGACGTACCGTCCCCAACATCCTAGTCATGGGCAAGAGCATCGGAGGCGGCGATGAGATCGAGGAACTAGATCAAACTGACACGCTTGTATCAACGTTCAAGGAAATGGGCGGTAGTCGCATTACACAAGTCGACCATCGGGGCGCCCGCCCAGAGATGCGGCGAAAGAGCAAGGCGTAGAGAAATCTACATCTCGCACTCTTATAGAATAGCCACCTTTCCATGTATATTTATGGGTCATCTCTTGTATGGCGTCTCTTGAGTCGGAAATGCGTCGTTAGGCATCGTCTAGGGTCTTGGTTGAATACCCTGGGACACCCACATAGGTGCGCATCGCATCTTAGTCGCCTGTCTACGGCGATGGATATACCCTTATAGTTTGTTATACTTATAACTTCTCAGTATCTATTACTTGAGCTTTTATCGCAGCGTATCATCCAGATTGCGACGTTTCATTCCATCGTCACGTCTTGCGCCGTCTAGTGACTGACTCAGCCTCATCGTGCGCTCGAGTGACATGGTACGGTCCAGCGACCCAGCAATCCTACTCTTGAAGGCTACCAGACTAGATCGGTTACTCGGACTCGTCTATCTTGATCTCATGTCGTGTGTCATAAAATACTTGACAAGCACCTAATAGGTTTGTCTGGCGACTACAGCAGCCTTTTTATACCAGTATGTCAAGTATTATATGACACCCGGGTGGCGATTTGCAGTGGGGAAGTCGCCTTCTCTTACTTCACCGTTGTGCCTGCCAACTACCACGAGGAAGTTGCCTTCGCTCACTTCACCGTTTGCGCCTGCCCGCCAACTACTCTAGGCTTCCACGCCCACAACCTACCCATAAATCTCTCACCTTTCTACAAAAACATCCCACTCTTATTCCGACAGCACCGTACACTCGTTCTGTAAGCTCGTCAAAGTGCTAGCAGCGCACACAATTTGCTAACGATCCGCATAGACAGCATGTGTCAGTACTGGAAGAAGATGCATACGTGCAACCACCAGTCGGACCGCCCCTACATTGAGATGTGCCGTCCTGGCTTCCTCTCCAACACCGTCTGCCCCGACATTGGCGAAGATGACAAACTCCGCCCATCGCACTTTCCTTGCTATCCGTGCATTAAACTCGAAGCACGCGCTGAGACCGAAGCCCAAGCCCGTCTTGATGAGGATGCTATCGCCAAAGCCTACGAAGCTCGCGAGCGCGCTGTCAAGGAGAAACAAGCTGCCGAATTGAGGGCCAAAGAGGAGCGAGTTCGCCGCGAGGCTCGTGACAAGGCAGCCAAAGAGCGAGAGGCGGAGCAGCGCGCCAAGCGTGAGAAAGAAGAGCAGGAGCGCAAAGCCAGGAAGGAGGGTGGTACGTGGGTTGAGACTTCGGGAAACAAGAAGCCAAAAGGCAGGAAGAGTGGCAGTGTTGTTGGGCTTTCACTTGCTGCGCCGAACACGCCTACATCCATCATGGTCACCGCGCCCAAGAATACCAAAGAGAACAGCGGCGGCGCCGCCGCCGCCGGATATGGTGGTGAGAGGATGAGCCCCAAGAACAGTCGCGTGGATCCTGGTGGTAGAGCTGGTACCTGGGGCCCTAAGAAGATTCTGAGCAGACAGGAGAACGGCGTCGGCGTCGGTGTCGGCGTAGGTACGAAGAAATGAGACATTGATGGAGGCTGTGAAGATCGTGGACACTAGCTTCGTGAACCATAATACGGACACTAGAGCTGTCTGGTAGCGATGGTTCGTGACAAGCAGGTGTAGCGATACAACACGTGAGCATGACTTTTACTCTAATTTCACTGCCACAACCAAATACTCCCAATGAGGGTCACATCGGTTATTCTGGGTAGGTAGCAAATCAGCTCTCCTGTAGCCAAGAGTCTTTATCGCGATGACCGCAACTGCCGTACATATGAAAACTCAGCTGTTCGAAAGATCGTCATATTGAACTCGGTAACACAGGCGACTGCGTCTTCTAAGATTTTAGTTCAGCTGCCACAAACGCCACACACTTCACCGCTAGAAATGTCAGCAGCGATCCTACTCACCCCACTAACTGATACGAGGGCGGCATCTAAGATAAGCACCTGACCCCTCCTACACCTTAAGTTAAGGCATACCTGACAATGTTAGGAATCCAAAACTCAAGTGGCAGGCACGTAGTCACTAGTGCAACGCCCTCGCAGCCATGACCGCTACCGGCAAAGACAGCGTTTCGGGAATCGACTCGGCAGCCGCACCCAACGCCGAAATAGTCACCCTATCAACATGGATGCTCGCAGCAGCCTTTTTGGGAATCGCTTTCTACCTCTGCGCCGAGCTCAACGTGCGTCTACTCATCAGAGCCACGCGGTACAGTCTGTACTTTTGGAGCTGCTTCCTCTGTAGCTGGGGCATCATCGTCCACGGCATCGTCATCTTGTTGTCTGACCTGGAAATATGGGCATCCTATTACTCTATCATCTTCATCGAATTCTCATGGTTCACTTTCGTTGTATGCCAGTCTCTCGTCCTGTACTCGCGCCTCAACCTCGTCTTGCTCACCCCGCGTATCGCAAACTATGTGCTATGGATGATCATCGTCAACGCTGTTTTATTTGGGCTTACAACTGTTGTCTTGGGTTTGGTCGCCGTAAGTCACGCCATGACCCACTCACTCCACTCGGATGCATCTTGCTAATTATACTCAGCGCCATTCCCGCTTCTCCACTCAACTCACCCACACCAATATAACGTGGGATAAGATTCAACTTGCTGCTTTCACTACACAGGAAACTATCATCGGCGTCCTCTACATCCGCGTCACTGCCTCACACCTCAAGGACATGACTCTCCTCGGCTCTTGCCGCAACACCACCCGTCGCAATTTGCGCAATCTCATCGCCGTAAACGTCTTCATCATTATGCTCGATGCAACCGTCATGGTGCTGTGCTACACGGGTTTCTTCTTCCTGCAGGGCTTCTACAAAGCGGCTGTCTATGCAATCAAGCTCCGCACTGAATTCACCATTCTCAACCAGCTGAGGTTGTCGTTGCCAGGAGCCACAGGTGAGAGATCCTCGGATGTCATGTCTGGACACGCTTGTCGCGACGGGAGGTGCATGTTGAGGCGAGGAACAATAAGCGCGCATGATTGGAGGGAGACCGATGTAGAAATGAATGGGATCCGGGTGCAGAGGGATATTGCAGTCAAGTCGAGTAGAGATGGACATACGGTTAGGATAGTACCGGGGGTTGGCGAGGGGTTCTAATTGCTTCATGATGTTGACATGTTTTGATTTCTTCCCAGGATTGGGACAGCATGTAATGGAAACAGGACGATATGATTACGACATGGAGGTAAAGATGCTATGAGATACTAATGTACAACGTTTTAGGTGGGATAGAGTGTGTATAACACTCCACCGTGTAATGTTTAGTCACAATTGAACTTTTGCAAACCCGGTGGAGTTCACTGCCCCACTTCTGCCAACTTCCGATATGAGCTCGGGACATCACAGGTAAGGAGAGAAAGTAGCATTTGTACATAAACTTCATATTATATGTATATACCTCTTGGCACTTCTCTAATATTTATACATGCGCACTTTCTTCATATGGAAGATTTCTGGAGTCGACGCAGACTGTCAATAGTTGACGCCGCCTCCTTTTAAAGGCCTGTTCTGTCCATCATGTGATGATTATAGACCAAGTTCCACCGTTTAACTCTGCGCCGTACTGTGCACTGAAGCAACATCCCAATGATGTAACTCTTCCATGTGACATGTAGACGGTACGAGAGTTGCGTCCTTCACGATATGTGCTAGAAAGACATACGAGATTCGCGAATGCGAGAACGAGCTCTCAAGATGTGTGCCAAACAAAAGAAAGGGGGTATCATCCGAAGGAAAAACCGAGAACTCCACCAAACATGCTAACGCTGAACGTCAAAGCACTTCATCCGCCATAGCGAGATCCATTTCTCGTATAACGCACATCATCTCGCGGTGCGGGAAACGGCTGCCGTCCGTCTTGAAAAGGATTGTCATGAGCAGGAGGAGCACGTCTCTCATACAGCCTAGTATCAGACATGTACGAACGAGACGGTTCACCAGCCGGTACTTCTGGATGATATGCATATCCACGCAAACCAGCAGGTACAGCTGAGCGCCGGGGAGGGGGACGATCTCTGCCATCCGGACTAGAGGTCAGATCAATGACAGGCTCTGGCGGCGCTCCCCGTGGCGCACTGTAGTAACCCGTTTGCTGATTCGGATGGAACTCAGGTACTCCGTTTTTGTGAGTACGAGTGTAAGCTTCTTCACGATGTACGAGCATCGGACGCTTGATCAACCGCTCAGGATGTAACCTCTCGTCATCGACAGTAAAGGAGGGCACCTTGCGCTTGTATGCATGTACATCATCATATGACCTGGTGGGCGCTTCATGATTTTGGACAGGTTGCTGGTATGCTGGAATACGTCGGGGCGAAGTCAGATCAATGGTTTCACGCTCGACCGAAGGTAGGGCGACATCCTGGTCTGATGGACGCCTTGCGGGAGCTGATGATCTGTCAAAGGAACTAAATCGAGATGATGAGGGTTGTACGTATCCTGGCGCGCTACGTGCCGCAGTGTATGGAGGCTCATACTTCGACCTTGAACCACCACCAACTTGGCCGATGGGTTGAAGCTATGTGTGTCAGCTCGGAACAAGGGTAAGGAAAGGGATATCTGGTGTCGTGCTCCTTGAGCTTGACTGTCAAAAACTCACTTGATACATTTGTCCGTCGATCTTGCTTATCATCGGCTGCGCACTTGCCAAGGTTGGGCGAGCCTGAGCTGTACTTGTTTGTCTAGAGAATTAGCTGCGATCCAGCATCCGGAATATTGCGGTAACTTACGGCTCCATGTATCTGCTGGGGGTGTGGTAGTGTGGGTCATTGCGAGGAATGTGACGCGGCTGAGACGGAAATGATTCTCGAAAAGGTTGGAATGACTGCTGTGACTGTGGCTGAAAATGCGAAGAAACTGACAAAGGAGTTGCTCGCGGAGGCACAGGATAACGCGGAGCGACCATGTATGTTCTCGGTGCTTGCCTCACCTGATCTGCCTCGACACGTGGGTAGTCTGCGTTAAGGTTAGGATGTAGATCTTGCGCATCCATACGGCGGGAGATAATCTCCATGCTCGGTTCACGTCCGTCTATAGACATGGAGCACGAGGTGAAGCTTAGACTGTCGTCGTCATCGTCGTCATCATCATCAATCACAATGACTTCGCGGAAGGTCTCCTCAAGCTCATTGCTCTGCTCGCCAGCTTCGTCGCGCCACTCTTTGAGTTTGGCGAGAGAGACATGCTCGACCTGAGCCCTGGCTGCCTGCCAACCGTCGGACTTGAGTAATTTGTCGTAGTCTGTGTACATGTGGCGGATATGTGCGACGACAGCGAGCTGCACCCTACGGGCCAAGCTGAGTCCCTTGGCATTACCTACCCTGTCGGTGCCCTCTTCGAACGCATGATCGACAATGGCTTGCAGGTCTGCCTCAGGGATCTTGGGGAACATCTCGCGAACAGCGTCGTGGATATACATCTTTGTCTCTCTCTCAGTGGTCGGACCTCCCTGGTTGGCTTGGCGCGAAGAGTAGGCTTCGAAGCGCTGCGCAATCCAGTTTTCGCGATCATTGGTTTTCCGAAGGCCTTTTCGGATGTCATAATCGTACCCAAACTTGCTGCAGGCGAGGTTGACGATGCGCATGGGAAAGTGGTGACCGACACGGTGAACATGGTGCGATAACTTGGCAGGGTCTGTATGCGTCTTGTTCTTCGGTTTGGCCTAGGCTGTTGTTAGTCAAGCCCACTGAATGTGGTGGGTAGGGCGCTCACCGAGACGATGTGCACGTCGAGGTTGCGCTGCCTGCACTGCTCCTTGCACCATTCCGTGAATTCAGGATGGCCGGCAGGGATAAAGCCAAAGCCGTCTGGCGCATTCGAGGCATATGTGAGCTATTCCTGTGTTAGTCACGCTATAGTGCGACAATGGCGCGTTGGTAACGGACAATAGAGTGCAGCTTCTTCTTCTCTTGGGTGACTGCTTCCAGTACGATCTTGTACTGGTCCTTGTTCTTCTTCTTTCTCAGCGCAGCGCGCGACCCATCACGCACATCATTGCGCTGTGACGCGCGCTGATTCTGTATCCTAGCCATGATGCTGGCTGTGCTACTTCATGGGGTTCCAATGTGACCCATACAATACTATGCTGCGTCGTGAGTGTTACGTTAGCGAATTAAACGAGAAGCAAAACAGTCACGTTGGCGTGCAGAAGTCGATGCGACAAGCGGCGAAGAGTTCTCTACAAGCTCAGTGTGCCCAAGTAGCGGCGGGGCTTTGGGCGTGTGAGCGGTGTTGCGAGGAGAGGGGAGTGAGTGGGCGCGGGCGCGAGGTTGTTGTCGGCGGGCGGCTGCGGACGCCGGCGAGACGTTTTGCCGAGCCCAGTAAATGGATTACAGGCGGGCGCCGACGTGACGCGCGATTTCTGGTCTGGCCAATGGCCACAATGTCTCAAGAAGCAATCGTACACGCTTACAGGCACGTATATCGTCACAGTCTGCGGGCAGTTCAATTCTCGAAACCGGCTCGGTATACATTGCGTAACCGCATCCGTCTGGCCTTTCGGAGAGGCTCTGCTACCGACTTTGAGCCTCAAAAGGTGCAGAACACGATTGAGTTTCTCCAATATGCTACCAAGGAGAATGGACTGGAACACAAGATCGTGAAAAATCTCCTGTTCGTCTGGTGGGTACAGGAAACTGGAGGCCGCACAAAAAATTATCAATCAAGGACCATGTATGTGTCCCACTGCTGTCATCATCCCATATGACACAATTGACCTCAGTCCAGGACTCGCGATGAGCTCGAGATCAAGACGACCGCATACGATACCTTTAACCACAACATCCGTATGCTCAATGAAAGCATGGGAATATGCCTGCCTTCCATGACACTTCGCGATCCAAACTAAGTCACGCTCACTTGATGTCTGAGCAAGGAGAGTCTTACATGAAGTCTTCGAGGAAGTTCTCGTCGCGGTTCTCGTTGCTGTTCGCCTCCAGGTTCTCCTCAGTCATAACATCGTCATAAGCATGGTCTCTTCGCCATGCGAGCTCCTTGCGTTCCTTGGCAACGCGCGCTTCTTCTTTCCTCTATCATAGCGTCAGGACTCGTCCATTGAGTGCGACGCTTGGAAGAAGACCCTTTGCGGAACAAGTGTGGTTCAAAATAGAGAAATCCACGTACCTTTGCCTGTAAAGCACTCTGATCTCTCTTCCTCAACTCCGCCCGCCTCGCCTCCCGCTCTTCTCTCAGATCAGGAAACTTCTCCACTTTGGTCTTGTTGAGACGATTTACAATAGCATTCTCCCGCTGTTCCACATGTATGCGCTTGACCTAAACAAATACAATAATCAGTTTTCACACGAAACCATGCACTTCACAGTCGACTGCACTCACCTTGCGCTGATCCTTGAACCCGACTTGTCCTACAGCCATGCTGCCATCTTTCTTCAAGTTACTCCACGGTGTGTAAACAATCGTGATGTTGTCTTTTTTGTTTCCCTCGATACTGTTCGCCTTGGTCAACTGCGCGCAGTCGACTAGTAGCTCTTTTGTCATTTTTTCCCAATCCTCGCCTTCAGGGAGGCGTACGTAGATATGAGCCGAGGACAGATTGTCGACGTGGAACCAGACATCCTCGTCCCAGCCGTATTTGATGAGCTCTTCGTCTACCGTCTTTGTTAGTGGGGGTTTTCTTGTATTTGTCAGGCTTCGTTGGTTAAGTAGGTTTGTGAGGCGCAGAGTGGAGACAAGACATCATCATACTTTCAACCTTGTCTTTGCCGACATATATGAAGGCTGACGGTGACACCGTATTGGAGGAGAAGTAGTACACCATTTTGCCGATACTTTGAATGTTGGATTATGGAGTAAGTCAAGTGTCGCTCTTGGATCGTCATTTTAGGAACACGTGTGGGGTCTAGCGGGGTATTCGAATCAGCCTTAGCCTCAGGGTCTAACGCGATGTCACCATGGCAGACAGGAGAAGAAATAGATCAGTGCAACTTCTGCTAACTATATTTGAATTTGATTAATCCTTAAGCTGTAAAACATGTTTCCTCGAAAGACAATTTACCACAATGCCTTACTGCAGGCCACTTTTCCTCCCCAGATAGGTTCTGCATTGCACAATCCAGTCACCGTCTATTCCTGAATCGATGTTGGTTTCTTCCGTTTTCTTCTTCTTGCCGTCGGATATCACTAGGTCTCCAAGACCAACAATCACTTTGGCTGTTTATTCACGGTCGCTCACACGATGAGTCATATCAAAACCATTGTCTGCTGCGTGTGCAAGCTCCACAAGAGCATCTTCCTGTTCAGGATGAGGTCCACCGGAAATGTGCAGAGTTTGTTGGAAAATCAGATTCCAAGTTAAACTCTGTGTTGTACAAGTCACGGAGCATACCAATTAACGCTTGCCACCATCACTGGGAATCGTGGTGCCCTCGGGTGCAATATTCGCGAGACGGCTTCTTTGATGCGGATATAACGTCGTGGTGAAAATCTGATGGATACGTGGAGTTTTTGAATGCTAAAAAAGTACCGCAAAGCTCATTGTGGTTCAGATGGTCAGTTGAAGCTGTACCGATGAGATCAAGATCAAACATGAAAAGCGCGCAAGCATCCATTATTTCGCTCTATAAGTATCCAAGCAAGAGTCGTTTTGCGGCATAACGAATGGTTTGTGATACATAAAACTCATGTCGACGGAGAAGAAGCCTCGGATCAAGATCTGGAGGGGCAATTACCAAGCACTTTGTCATCACGTGAGAGGACCGCGCGTGTGGGGTTCGGCGTCGCGACTTCCAGACATTGCGACGCGAGAACGTCTGTCAACAAAGACAAACTATCCTCAGCCACCCGTTTCGCATACAAAAATATCGTCAAATATCATTCGTGACAATGCCGGCCGCCGAACAAACGTCTGCTGATGCCCGCCGAAAGGCCGCTCGGGAGGTCATCGACATTCTCCATGAAATAGCAACACTGCTGGTAAGCAAGACCCGCGCCTCGCTCAGGCGTCCGTATCTGACCACAACCCCAGAACACGCATCTTGATCGCCAACAACTCTCCTACTGCGTATCACTGATTGAGAACGGCGCAAATCCAGAGGCTTTAGCGGTACGTTGCAAACTCATTCTCCACTGCGGCACAGCAGGGTGTAACAACGGATCCTCGCGCGCGGTTCGCACGTTCACGACGATCCCAGTGCCGGATGTGTTGGGGTAGCTGCTGCAGTTGCTAATTCTGTCACAGAAAGTCATACTGCAGCTGCGCGAGGAATATCCCGCAAGTTCCGTTGATGGAGATGCAGAGGCAGGTGCAGCCGCGCGCTGAAGTGATAGGAGTTCCGGAGTCCGAAAATCACCGTGGTCTTACCTTTCACGAGCGGTTACTTTTACGGGGGCTTTTTCTGGCTTGTGAGATTATGTATGGGCATGACGAGTGCGACAAGAGGAATGACTTGGTGATAGTAGCCTTGTCCTGTCGTGTAATCGAGGCCTGGAACGTTATCAGTGCGAAGGGCCGATCACCCAAAGACTATTGGCAACAATCTCTTAGCCCTTCGTCTCTGGCTCCGCGTGTACTTAGCTTGGCGTGCAACCTTGATCGGAAAGCCTGGGAAAGCCTGGATCCCTAATCATGTCCTCTTAGGCCGCTGATTGTCAATGGAGGGGTAGCGGGCGTCCACGCGGGGCAAATCTATCAACGAACCGGAACTCACCGCCAAGGTGTTGATATCGAGGGTTTATCGTTTACATGCACAGTTATCAGGACGCTGGGATATTGTCTTACATGTCCAGGCACAAAGAAGCACATTGCGATAAGAGCAAACCGGGCAGTGTAGTGCTGGATGAGGGGGATAGCGTATAGGATAGCCGGACTAGACGGTTTGGTATCAGCGGCCAATCTATTCAGCTTCAGGCGAAAGCCGGGTCACCAGGCCAACGGAAAAGGGCGTATGCAACTAGTGGTGCGAGATTTCGTCATTGAATCTACCGACACAAGCGCGTCTATCTTGAGTCTTGACTACTGTAGTGTATGATTGTACGATGATGATGGCGAAAACGCTCGACGTGTGGATCAGATTAGGAGAAAGGTAGTAAATGTGTGGATGCTAGGAAACGACAACGATTGTTTGGGTATCATCAACGAGAGGAATGGGTATCTTCCGAATAGAAACTCCTCACCGGGACCGGAGACAAAAGTCCAAAACTTGCTCTGCAACAAAAATGAAAGATATTGGTCGGCTATCTGCTACCCCAGGTGGGTGAGCTTTGACGCTGGCGGAAGTTGCCTTTTGCGTCAGCAACTTTCTGGAGGGCCTTTTCGGCTTTTGCGTCTTGCTTGTTGAGGAAACCGTTGAAGATGGAGGGGAGGACACGCTTAGAGTCTACTGCCTGTTAGTATGGGATGAGAAGACTGATGTGTGAGACGACTTACTGGCATGGTCGGCATCGAAGAGAATGCCGTCTGCACCCCTTTCACCCGCAACCTTGACAGCCTCTTCCAACAGACCTTCGCCAACGCCCTTGCCGCGATACTTCAATTTGACAGTCCAAGCCCTTACGACGGCTTTGCCCCTTCTTCTTCGGCCGCGCTTCTTCGCTGCATCATTGTCTGCCCAGCCTAGAACCAACGAGCCGATGACGTCTTCGCCCCACTTCACAACAATAAGCCTGTCATCACCCAGCCACTCCATGTCGATGTCTTCCGCCATGCCAATGTAACCACCTGTCATCCACCGAATGAAAATCAGAAACGTCATGGTGATACCCCCAAGGGTCGTCGCAAGCATCAGCCTGTCTTCGTACCAGCGGATCATGTACTGCGCTGCAATGGCGATAGTGACAACATAGGCGGCTAGTGAGACGGGATGGAACATCATCACCTTGCTTGCGACCTGGCGTTGTTGTGCTACCGAATCTGCAACCAGGCGCAGACCTTCGACGCGGTCTTCTTGCGACTCGGCCGTGTACGTGGACAGTTGAGGTAGCTCATCGGCAGGAATCTTGGCCGGCGCGATTGGTGCGTTTGAGGACATGATTTGATGTTCGGCAGGTGAGGGATATGGGTTGTACGAGGGAGTTGTTGTATAGGAGAGCGAGGTGGGCGGGAGCGGCCGGACAAAGTTGTTTAATTGAAAAGACGTCGGTGTAGGTAAGGGTGAAGGGAGGTCAGGATCGATTCTGAGATTTGCGCTCAGCGAAGTCAGAAAAGCTATTATTCTGCGCGTTAGCCCATATCCATATGTGCATTGACATGACCGGCAACCGAGCACACGACCATTCATCACCAACCATGACACCCACGTGCCAAGGGGAAAATCAACATACCGGCGCTCGTGCGGAATCCAGGCAAAGACGGAATTGCGGGAATAGCCTTTTCAATTCCAGCGTAGTGATTTACAACAACCGTATCCTGGCCGAGAAACTGTTGTCTTGGAAACGCGTGCGGACCGGGCGGAACCTTGAGATGACTTGGAGGAAGTTGACGACGCATCTTTATAACGAATCCGTATTCCAGCCTTCTACAGCCACGATTACATATACAAATATGTCAAATACACGTAGAGACGTAGTGGGACCAGCCAGGAAAGGTGAAGTGTAGATTAAACAGAGTACAAGTGTTGAAAATAGGCGTCCCTCGAAGTGGTTTGGGAGTAGACAGACGTTTTAGTTGGCAACCTGAAGCCAAAAAATTATCAAACACAACAAAGTGGGCGTAACGTGCGTTAAAGTATTGGCTTACAACAAGCCAAGAGATTTCGCAAGAGAACAGACATGGCAGCCCGCGCCGCCGCTCTTCATAAGTTTTCAGTCCACAAGGGCCCGCGTCGTAGGACCCGCTTGCAAAACGGACACGCACGAGCCATGGCATGGTACGCTTCCCTCCTTGTTGCGCCGGGTGGGAAGCGAGAGGTCGAGCCTGGTCCGGCGATCTTCACAGGCCACACATGCACCAACTCGACCCCCTGGTCCGCCCGCCTCTGCTTCAGCTGCAAGACGAGAAGACGCATTTCCTATTGGCTCTGGCCTGCTATAGAGATAAGACGCTCGACGGCCAGCAGACAAGACCGCATACTTAGCACACCTCGATCGGATCCATACATCGGCTTGGTTGGGGGAGCGGTGTAGTGGGGGTGAAACTTGGATGCAAGTGCGCTTACCGAGTGAGTCCGTGGAATCAGTTTCTTCTTGCTTTCTGGTCTGACAGATGAGAATAGCTTTCTGTTTGTTTTCTTCTTGATTTGCTTGAGCGAAGAAATAGGGCCAGCGGTAGTTTCTACTTCGCGCAAGAGGCACAGTTTCAATATCTCCAAGAGAAAGAGCAATATCTGCCCTGCCACATCTTTCTCCTACTGCCGTGCCCGTGTGCCCATTGCAAGAGTCCGCCTTACGCCATCGATGCCTCCCCCGTGCCAAACCGCCCTCTCCACTCAGCTGCGCATGATCGGGTCAATCAAAGATGCCAGCATCAGTCATGATGACAGCCGTCACCCAACCTGCGTCGACCGTTATGCGTCACCCAACCTGGCGTGGTGGGGGAGAAAGGGTAAGCGCAAGCGAAAGGTAAATGGCACCAAGACCGCGCGCCAAACCCCTTCCATGGCCGCACACACATCAATCTCAAACTCATAGTCCGCGTCAAGCACCACAGCTGACGAACCTGAAACGAACTATCGTAATACAAACGCATTGCTTGCGCAGTCTCAGCTTCACGCTGCGGCGCACCCCCTGCGAAGGAAGTGCTCGACGACATGGGGAACGACCCACTCCGAGGAATGGTCCGCCCAACGGGGGTATTTTTTTTATTACTTTGGTTGCTGGTTGGAGCCGGCCGAGATGGGTAATGGTGTTGCGTGTAGTCGCAACTTACAATGGAGCACCACCAAAATGATAGCGCCTACAGACACCGGTGTTACCAGCACTGTACCTCTCTCACCACCGCACTGGCCTGATTATTCCTATCTTCACCACCACTCCATCGACTACCCGCGGCAAGCACGACACAAACGTACCTAGCTCCCCAGCCAGCGGCAAGTATCGCGACTTACACCAAACCCATCCCGTCCACGGATGCAGTATCACCTCATCACAAGACACGGCCCTGACAAAGACAAAAAACTCCCACCTATTACTTTTCTCCCAATCAACCAAATGATCTTCCAACCAGACACACAATCCAGGGAAAATCCCACTAGCCGACCATCCAACCACATTGGCCCAAAAACCTCACAGGCAGCGTGCGTCTGACGTTCGCCCCCACATATCCGGGCAAATCCACCACCTCTGCCTGTTCATCTGACGTGTTGCGTATTAATCCTCTCACTAACTCTCTTCTCCACAACCCAACCGAAGCGAGTAATTGTAATCGCTGCAATCAGTATTCGCCGTCTTTTTTATCTCCACAAAATGCACTCATCCCGCATGCTTATGTTGACCAGTCCAAACATATTCGCTATGCTAAGCTTCCAAATTCCCCATGATCACATATTCCACCATACCCATGCCTATAACTTTCTCAACGACCATCACGCGTCACGTGCGCCGATCCAATCTTCGACCTTGAATGACCCTCACGACCGATCTTGGTCTTGCTCCTCTCTGCCTTTTGCCAATTGTCCGAATCAGCCTGACGTCCCTTCAGCCTCGGCCCTTTTTATGGGTTTACGTATACACTCGTACCGGTACGACCCCGAAGACACGGCGCGCGCCTACGTACCTCTGACTATACCCATCAACTCCTTCCCCCAAGGCATGAACACCCCACTCCGCCTCTAACCAACCCCCCCAGCAACGCAAATCATAACAACGCGCGTCTTTTCTCCCCCGTCTCCACCTCAGCCGCCTGCTCGCTCTCCTTGACAGGTGGAAGTGCAGCACAAACGGGTTTGTGTCTTGGCAACAGCACAGGAAAAGGGCACCCCGGACGGGACCCCCGACCCCATATAAAGTAGCGCAGAGCAGGCAGACGCAGCTTTACTTGGTAGCGAACCCCGTCCGTGTGTACCCTTTTGTTTGGATTCCATGTCGGTTTGCGAAACTTGTTGGTTGGGCGGCTGACGGGGCCGGGGAGAGAATGTTTCGGCGTGTTTCACCAGGGCTTGGCGCTGAGGTTCTAGGTCGGTCGTGGCGCTTGTCTAATCTGATATTTCGAGTGTAAGTAGTCAAGCCTCCCCGCGCCGGAACTAAGTACCGTTTGTAGGCTAGAGGGGGGCGAAAGAGGGATTGTAGTAGGATAGCTTGCTTGCATGGGGAAAACGTATAAGGTTGGTGGTAAGCGCATATCATGAAGCTATTTGATATTGTGTATCATGACAGCCTGAAGAACGTGACCGATGTTCATATACGGGGCAATATACACGCATTACACCGCAGCCTCAAAGTAGTCTGGGTTTTGTTGATCTTCTCTCCCAAACTCCCCACAAGACGTCACAGCGGAATCCCGCGTACACTTTACTATATACGTTTTTCCCTTGGTTTTGTCTGAATACCGATATAGCCCCTTTGGGTCGTCATGCCCATGCTTCCCCTCACATTCGGCATTTCTCTAGAGTACATTACACAAACGTACGTAATAACGGAAAATCGAAGAAGAAGAGGAGAAGCTGCCTTCTATCCCGCCCAAACACCGCACATCTATGCAAGCAAGAGTCTCAAATACCCGCCTGCTAATCGTCTAAAACGCTGAATACTAGTCAACGACAAGCTCCACTTCACGTCACGAAGGAGAAGCTAACGATGGCGTAAAATCAAAGTCGAACACTGTATGTCGACCGGCTAAGAATCGCCCCAAGAAATTATTTGCGTGCCTGATAGCCTTAGGCTACAGAAAACGTCGATCGTAATAGCGAACGACAGAGAAGTTGCAAAGAGCCTACTGGCTTACTTCTTCTGCTGTGTGTTCGCTGCCGAAGAGACACCTGCACCAGGCTCTAGGGTATGTTCATGATTGTCACATCGAACCACTCTACCACCCTCTTCCTGTGTGCACACTGCACTATTAGTGACCCATTTATCTTCGAGGATCTCGTCAAGGGTGGCGCGCTTCTTGGGGTCGACTTCTAGCATTCTGCCTATAATGTGCCTACTCTCTCTCGGCAACAGACGCAGAAGGCGCCAAGGCCCTTTGATGACCTGAGGCGGTTGTTGCGAAGTGGTCGATGATGTTGATGCGCGATGATCAACAGCATGTTCCGAGGGGTGGCGAGACGCTGGCTCAGAGGTAATTCCAGACTGGCGACGGTCATCGCTTGCAGTACTCGGGACGTCAGTCGCCGACCTTGCAGGGCCGGTAATCGACCTGGGCCCGTCGTTGGGGGGAGACACGAAGAGCTTATACGAGTTATCGGAGATGCGCGGTGCCTTCCAGGGAAATCGACGTAGTGTCATACAGCAAAACATGATTGCAAGAGACCATATGTCGGTTGGTTGAGGATCGTACTTGGCAAGATCATATACTTCCGGGGCGAGATATGGATCTGAGCCGACGATACCTGGTGAAGATTGTTAGAAGGTGGAATGGAAAGGTGAATCAATGTACTTACCACTGGCAAGGACGATTTCGTCTTCAAATGGGTATTTGAAGACAGCAGCACTGCCAAAGTCGATGATCTTCATAATACCATGCTCATTGACAACGACATTGTCAAGCTTCAGGTCTCGATGTGCCAAGCCCATACTGTGCAGGTATGTAACTCCGTTCAATATCTGCAAGGTGCAGCAGGTAACCTCCTCTCGACTCATCTTACCCGTCATGACTATTGCGAAAAGATCGTAAGGCGCATACTCCATTACAACGTAGTAGTTGCCCTTTTCGTTTACAAGATCCATGGTCTCAATGATGTTTCCATGATGTAGTGTTGAGCCTATACAGAACTCTGCGGTAACCTTTTTGTTGTAATCCTTCTCCGACTCGTATGAATGCCTGTTTCGGAATTGTTTTACAGCGAACGTCGTTCCATCGCTACTCCGCTTCATAAGCCGGACAGATCCACCTGCGCCCGAGCCCAAGACTTTTCCGAACTTGCCATACTTGCTTTGGAGGCCGTGGTCGTCTGCGAAAGGTACGCTTATCGAACCGTTGGTCATGGGAGGTGTCATTGTTCCAGATTTGTTGGATTTAATCTTTTGGTTCTTGATAGAAGGCGCGGGTGACTCCTTGCGCTTCTCCTTGTCTTTGTCTTTGTCTTTGTCCTTGTTTTTATGTCCAATCTTGAAGAACCGCTTCAGCTCAGACATTGATCCATGTTTGCTGTTTTGCGATTTAGAGTCCTCTGCGTCGGAGTGGCCTTTGATAGACATCTTTCCGAAAATGCTAGATCTTTTGTTTGTCTCTGTGTCGGACTCAGTGCCCCTAGAGCGGGGTAGTTGGTATGTTGAGGATGCTGCCGAGTTGCGCCCATCGCGCCCGCCGTACACAAATCGAGCTTCGAGTGAGTCTAGGTTCCTTGCTTGTGCTGCACGTTTGGAACGAGTATATGTATCTTCCCGTTCTCCCTGGGGAGTGTACGGGCGGCTACCGGGAGCTGGGGTTGATGTGCCTGATGTGCGCTCCCCACCGGATCTAGCCGGACTGGCATCTCGGGAGGCCGGGTTTGAGTCACTGGCGTGGCCCATTGCCATTGCTGAGCCGCGTTTTGGGGCGGACTGAACGGCGCCGGATAAGTCTGATGATGGACGAGGAGAATGCGCTACTATTCTTGGAGATGCAGGCACTGGTAGGGACAACTGGCTCTCATTTGGACCTTGGACAGAGGCATTCATTGATGGTGGCGGCGGTTCGTGTGGTGGTGAAACTTGCGGAGTGATCATGGCGGGGTCGCTTGAATGCTTCCTGTGTCCCTCAGCGCCAGTCTTCTCGTCCCGGGAAGAAGTGCCTGCGGGCGTTAGTGGTGGAGAGTGCATTGCGGAGGCAGGCGATGAGGCGATGGAAGAGCGATGTCCTGAATGCACTGAAGTAGTTCGTGAGGCTGGATTGGGTGAAGGTGCCTTTTATGTGTTAGCTTTGTTGGCGGCCACGCACCATGGCAGAGAGCTTGCTTACTCGCGATGGTGGAAGTGAGACGGGTTCGTAGGAAAAGTTCTCCATGCGCTTTGCCTGCATGCGGGATTTCTGGAGCGTCGAAGACAGATTGCGCAAGTCTTCCTCTGCCTGGGGGCTCAATGGACCATCGTGGGGCACACTGGTGGTGCCTGTAAGTTCAGCGACATCTTGAACAGCCTGCTCTGGCTCAATTTCCTGGTGGACGTCGCTGAAGCGCACAGATTGCGGCTGAGGTGAAGACGTCATGATGGTGAGAGGCTTCTGTCAGTGAGTGTCAGTTAGGTTGGCTCAGGGCATGACGAAAGACGCACATGTCTAGACCAAACAGCTTTAGCTTGGCTGGTAGTCAGCGAGTTGCAGGAGCGCAAATGAATTGGTGCCTCGGCCTTTAGTCCAGAGTGTTACGGAGCGGGCGGAGAGAGCGGGGAGGACTATGGGAGCTCTCAGGCTCAGCAATGGGTGCTGGAGTGGAAGAATGAGGTGCTCTGCTCGTGTGCCTTTCTACAAAGCATCGAGAATCGTCATCGGAAGCTAGGGTGTGAAGAAGCCCCGCGCTAGCTCAGGGTAGCCTGCAAGCAATTCGTCCGTAAACCCGCGGAATGCCCGGGATATGCACGAATGAAGGGAGATCGATGCCGGGGCGTCTGTATATGTATGTAAAAAAGAAAAAAAAACGGGCAGCTTCGAGGATTCGGCGGGAACAGCGACAAGAAATGTGATCTTCGGAGGGGTCGACAATAGCACACTCAGCTGCATGCACAGGGCGCGCGGGTTGCCCTATTCGTTAGATATCGGGAAGCTACGGCTAAGCCATAGTTATCCACCGCCTCAACTGCCATGGCGACGCTCGACGCCGACTTTTGGCATTCCAAACATCCAACCCAGATCCAGACCAGAACCAGAACCAGACCCCAGACCCATCCGCTCACAACCACGACGACTCGTGTAACTCTGCAGCACTGCAACCCAGCGCTGTCTTCGACCTGTTTCGCCGCACTCGGACTCGCCGTCGCGTGTTCTGACGTCCATAGCCGTCTCTGTACCAGCTGCCGGCCGTGCTTCCGTCACGACAAAAAAAAATTCAAATCCAGACGTGTTGAACAAAACCCGTCGAGAGAAATTTCTGCACCCGTCCAATCAAACGCCGTGACGCCTTTCATCGCATACGCATCTTTTGGACCGTACGTCGACGTGCCCGCATCATGTTCAGCTGGGCAAAGTCAACGTGAGTGCAGTCCTCCCGCCTCACGCACACGTGCCTGCGCGATGGAGTGAGTACGCGTACTGAGTGATGCAGACTAGCCGCGGTTGCCGGCACCCAAGAGCCCGAATACGGCCCCGACGCCATCCAGCCCGTGGGCAAGAAGGGCGACGAGCCCGCCTACACCGAGTTGACCAAGAAGGACCTCAAGTGGGTCACGCTCGACTACACCAATGTCGAGACACAGACGTTTTACCTCTTCACCGACGCGGGCCACAAGGGCTTCCTGCAGGTCATCTACAACAACATAGCGTAGGTTACCGCGGCCTGTAGACACGCGCCCAAATACTTACATGCAATAGCGGCCTCCGCGTGACGGTGCAGTTCAACTGCAAGCTCTTCTACCCAAACAACGAGAAGCCCTTTCTCTGGGCAAGCGACCCCGTCCACAACTATGGATTTGATGAGAACCAGCACTCCTTTTACGCAGATGGCGTCTCCATCGAGCTTTCCGCCGACGGCAACTCATATGACATCAAGGCTGCCGTCAACGAAAACAGCATGGTCAACGTCAAGTTTACGAGGACCGCCCCTGGCTTCATGGGAGGAAAGGACGGCATGACCAACTACGGCACAGATCCAAAGGCGCCATGGGGTTCCATGCATCACCACTTCTGGCCGCGATGCAGCGTCGAGGGTAAAATCATCACCAAGGATGGAGAGGTCGACGTCACGGGCCGAGGCATGTTGAGCCACGCCCTGCAGGGAATGAAGCCACACCACGCTGGTAAGGGCCATCATGCACAAACTACTAAGTAATGCCCCAAGCTAACACCTGCAGCTGCTCGCTGGAACTTTGCCAACTTCCAATCGCCCTCCTACTCCGCCATCATTATGGAGTTCACTACCCCGTCGTCGTATGCATCGACCGTTGTCCGAGTTTGCGGCATCGCTACCGACGGCGAACTACTGTTTGCCAACACCGACGGAGCCGAAGTGAAGCACACCGAAACCAAGCAAGACGAGACCGGTTGGGCGGAACCCACCGCTGCAAGCTACCACTGGGTCGGAAAGACCAAGGATGGCAAGGACGTCACTGCAGATCTCGCCGGTGCTCTCGGAAAGAACATTGACCGTGTGGATGTCATGGCCGAGGTACCAGGCTTCATCAAGACCATTGTTGCCAGCGCCGCAGGCACAAAGCCATACATCTACCAGTATGCGCCCAAGATGACGATCAAGGTAAAGGTGGGTGATGAGGTCAAAGAGGAGGAAGGTACGCTTTTCACAGAGGCTACATTCATTTCGTAGACGTCTTCTCAAACTTGCATATGAAGACCCCATGCTCTCGGATACCCTACTAGTAATGCACCAGGGCTGACACCTGACGATTTAATGAATACACTTTGTTGCGCATGTACATGTGTTTTCTGCCACGGATTCATGGCCGGGTAATATAAGCTTTGGCGAGCATTACCGGTTTGTACCTGGATCACGTTAACGTTGGTCCCTATTACCACACAGTCGCATTAATTTAGCGTGCGACATCACACAGAGTACGCATGGAGATGCCTTCTCTTCCTCATCCCCCAGTTTCTTATATATTGAGAGTGTGGCCTTCGCTATTACCTGAACATTCGCATCAGGTCCTTTGGTCCACAAAACCTAACCAGATAATCTGTCGAACGTGCTGAAAGTGTTCCAACCAACGCTGCTCCACTGATTTACGAGCTTCTGTCATCTCACTTCTCATCTGCGCTCAAACTCAACCACCATCTCCTAACCCCCATATCCATTTCACCTGATAGCGCGCCAGAAGAACGCGTCGCGTGACGTATCACAGCCTGTGGTCCGTGCGACGTCCGATCAACAACGCCACACATCCGCCGCTGCATTCAAGACTCGAGCATCATACCACAGCATAATGCCTAACGAACGCCCGAAACAGTTCGGTGGCCCGTCGCGTTATGGCGCATCCGCTCGCCCTCCTGTGCGCCTGCAGCCTTCGGCAGCATCAACCACGCCGCAGACCTCCAGAGCCAGCCAGATGGGCCTCGGCTTAGGTAAAGGCGCGGCTGGACTAGGAAGGGGGAAGGGTATTGCCAGAGGCAGCTTAAAGCGTCATATGTGAGTATACTGATTATGCACGTTGGAGTGAGACTGATTGACGTAGGAAAATTCAAAAAGATAATATTTATGGCGTCACCAAGGGCGATATTCGGTGAGTGAGTCTAGGAAGGGACATAAAACAATGCCCAACCGAGAAGAGATCAAAGCATCACCCCCAAGATGACACTCCTCTTCTCTCTTTCTATTTGGATTTTTTTTGTTCAGAAAGAGCTCGCTAACCTCAGGTCACAGACGACTGGCGCGCCGTGGCGGAGTCAAGCGTATATCAGCCACGATCTACGATGACGTCCGTGATGCTCTCAAACAACGGTTAAGACTGGTTAGTCATTTCAAGACGAAGAAGTATACGCCGGATAGAGCGTTAACAACTTGTAGATCCTGCAGCGTGTATGCGCCATCATCGATTCTAGTGGCCGCAAGACGGTGTCTGTCAGCGATATTGTGTTTACCCTTCGGGGAGTAAGTCTTCACTTTGATAATTGCTTGTAGAGTACTGATCATTTGGCTAGCTCGGAAACCCAATCTACGGCTTCGAGCCGTCGTTCCTGCGTTAACGTTGAGGACGAATCGACCGCAATCACGGTCCGAAAATTGGCATTTCTACAATTGCTGACAGTGTCTGTGTGTATGGGATGAATACTACGTGAAGTCTATGGCTTTTTTTTATCAGTTTGGGTTTGTCTAGATATACGCTGGATTGGACAATGTATCTAGTATTAGGCGCTATATGTATTGTTGAGAGGAGGAGATGCACGAGGAGCAAGCCTAGAGTTCCATCATAACTTCTGAAGCCTAACTAGGATGGTTAAATGTGATTTACATACCTCCTAGCGTGGACTTTGTCTTCTACACAGCCATTCGCCATTATATATCTACCACCTCTTGATGCTCTCCCGAACTACTTCCATCTTACTATCCCACTCGCCATCTTCCTCCTTCCCGTACCGCTCATTATACCACCCATCCAGTGCCTCAAACCACCTAATCGCCTCGTCCCGCATACCTCTCGCCGCACCCCTATTTCTCCTCCACGCCTTCTCAACACAGGGCATCGCAACCACCATCCCACACTCGCCCAAGAAATCCTCCAACACTGCCGCATCCCGTGCATCTGGCACGGCAAACGCATTCTGCCATGTGGACTGCTCAAACCCATAATTCCACCTCACACCCTTGTTGCCAAGTCTAGAACACCACATCCACCACGCCGCCATGCGGCAAAATACCAGAAAATGCCTCTTATGCAACGTACTGGGCAGGTCGTACAGATTACCAAATGGCTGGCAAGATACCCATTGATCTTCCAGATATCCGTCGATTAGAAATCCAGGAGGCGGATATGTACAAGTATTCTTTACACAAGGTAAAACATTAATTTCCAAACGCCGGTTCCGCGTCACAAGCGCTTTGTGCTGCTTGGGTAGACTATCGAGCCAGCGCGTAATCGGACTGAAGTTTAGGTTGCGCACGGTGAAGGTGAAGCATGTGTGCAAGTAGTACGTGTATGCGGCTTCGATGCGGATGGCGCGACATACGTGGAGAAGAGCTGGTGGGCGCGCCTGGACTTGCAGGGACCGGGCGTTGGACACGTAGATTGCGGTGGGGAAAATGAAGGTGTAGATTAGGCTCCGTAGCTCCGAGGGGAGCGTTGCTAGGGGACAGGGCTTTTTGGCGTCTTTGGGCGTGATCGTGTAAAGGTCGGACGTGTAGGCCAGATGGTTTTTTGTTTGAGACGTGAGGAGGGAGGGTCGCTTGAGAGGCTTCTTTGGTGTCGTTGTGTGTTTTGATGAACTTGGAGTAGATGACTTGGAGGTTTTCGCACTGAGAGATAACTTTGAGGATAGTGGCTTGACTGGTGTTGTGGTTGAAGGTTTAGGGGTAGCTTTGGACCTGTATTCGGACGACGTGGTGGCGCGAGTGTACGACGGGGAAGCCATGTCGAAATTGTATTTTCTCTCGTATGAATCAATCGAAAATCAGGCGGAAATCATGAGAATTGATAGGGTGATGTCGGCTATGCTGTCCAGAGTGCATACAGCTGGGTTTGCCACTGCTGTGGCGTTAGGTGGCTGGTATCCAACTCTTTCCGCACCATCGGAGCCCGCTCCGATACCTGAAGACCTGGCTATTGCAGAAACATGTACAGCAGTTGCTTCACGTCGCGTAGTTTGTCATGGTCATGAACAGACGCATGGGGAAAGGGTCATGCGTCCGGACGTCTCACATGCGATCACGTGAGAGCGCGAAAGTGGGGCCCTTTGCGACTTCCCATCTCGCTCATGCTTTGTCGGTGCATCAGGCCTTATCACCACAAATCATCCCCCTGATGCACAAATCCATGTGCAGCTATGGCAGATGAAATGGATGTCTCACCGCCGTCGCCACGGGGAACAAAACGAAAAGGCGACGATAGCCTTCCACTTCCAGCGCCACGGAGGATCAAAGCACTCGCGCAAGATGTCGTGAACAAGATTGCAGCCGGAGAAATCATCGTCGCGCCAGTGCATGCGCTGAAAGAGCTGATCGAGAATGCTGTAGATGCGGGCTCGACAGCGCTCGAAATACTCGTTAAAGAAGGTGGTCTTAAGCTTCTGCAAATTACGGATAATGGACACGGAATTGACGTATGTTTGATTGGCTTGGAGGTCGATGTCGTACTGACATGGTTGCAGAAAGAAGATTTACCCATCTTGTGCGAACGATTCACTACCTCCAAGCTCAAGGCTTTTGAGGATCTGACTTCCATTGGCACCTACGGGTTTCGTGGCGAGGCCTTGGCAAGTATCAGTCATATTGCTCATCTCAAAGTTACCACGAGAACGAAAGAGTCGAGTTGTGCCTGGGAGGCTCACTTTGCTGATGGAAAGCTTTCCAGTCCGAAGCCGGGCCAAAGCGCGGAGCCGAAGCCCAAGGCTGGACGACAGGGCACCATTATCACAGTACGTTGAAACTTGTGGACATGCAGAAGTCGTAGTTGACATTTGCTAGGTTGAAGATCTCTTCTACAATGTTCCCTCACGGCGGAGAGCTTTTCGCTCAGCTAGTGAAGAGTATGCTAAAATCCTCGAGCTCGTTGGACGCTACGCTGTTCACTGCGAGGGAGTGGCTTTCTCCTGCAAAAAGATAGGAGAGAACAACAGCAATAGCGTGACAGTTCCTGCTGCTGCTAGTGTAAAAGATCGGATACGACAAATCCATGGCAGCAGCGCTGCGAACGAGCTGGTCGAATTAAGCGTTGAAGACGACCGCTGGGGCTTCAAGTGCAAAGGTTGGGTCAGTAGTGCTAACTACAACGCAAAGAGGACACAAATGCTTCTCTTCATCAATCACCGATCAGTCGAGTCGCCGGTAATCAAGAAGAGCGTCGAGCAGACATATGCCACATTCCTGCCCAAAGGAGGACATCCATTCTTCTACCTAAGCCTTGAAATCGAGCCGCAGCGAGTTGATGTCAACGTACATCCAACGAAGCGCGAAGTTCATTTTCTAAATGAAGACGAAATCATTGCCGTTATCTGCGATGCAATCCGCGAAAACTTGAGCAAGGTAGATACGAGCAGGTCCTTCATGACGCAGTCGCTACTTCCAAACCCAAAGGCCCCTTTCGCAACACCCATGAAGTCAAACGTGCCTGTGGCACCAGGAACAGGCCATGCATCAGATCGCAGCGTATCGCGAGCCCCACAGACAGCTCCCAAGAAGCGCAACGACGGCAACCTTGTTCGCACGGATGCCTCAGCACGCAAGATCACATCAATGTTGCAACCGCAAAAGTCAGTCGAGGAGATTGCAAACGACGAAAAAGAAAAGGAATACGAAATTACGGGAAAGGAGCCGATAGCATGTCGTCTGACTTCTATCAGTGATCTCCGCGCCGAAGTTCGAGATGCCATGCATAACGAGCTTACGGAAATGTTATCTTCTCATACCTTTGTCGGCATCGTCGACGAGCAAAAACGCATCGCAGCCATACAATGCGGCGTGAAGCTCTTCCTAGTTGATTACGCTATGATGTGCAACGAATACTTCTACCAAGTCGGTCTCACCGACTTTGCAAACTATGGGTCCATACGTTTCAGCCCGCCACTGCGACTGCACGACTTACTCAAAATATCGGTGGAGCAGGAAAAGAAAAGCGCTGGCGATGCAGCGGGTGAGGTGGACTGGGATGAAGTCGTCGACGTTGTCGGGAAACAGCTGATCGATAAGGCACCATTGCTGCGCGAGTACTTCTCGATGAACATCACTGCAGAAGGCGAGCTATGTTCTATCCCACTCTTGATGAAGGATTATACGCCTTGCATGGCAAAGCTGCCCCAGTTCCTCCTGCGTCTCGGTCCGCATGTCAATTGGAATGAAGAGAAAGGCTGCTTCCAGACGATATTGAGAGAGCTTGCTTCTTTCTATGTTCCAGAAAGCTTGCCGCTTCCGCCGGACGTACAGGGGACGTACGGCAGGAAGGGCAAGGACAAGGTAGTAGAAGAAGCCACTGAGATTACTATGCGGCGTAAGAAGCTATTCAGAGCGCTTGAGTTCAATATCTTCCCAGCGTGTAAAGCGAGATTGGTAGCCACCAAAGGGCTGCTAGACAGTGGTATTATGGAAGTCGCAAACTTGAAGGGTCTGTATCGGGTTTTCGAGAGATGCTAATTCAAGCTACTCATGATACTATACAGGTGGGATCTGTCATTTCCTAATACATAGCGCAACGTAATGCAAAAAACCTTGCTACTTATGCATCTGCGCATACGTTTCCATAACCTTCTCGACAACCTTTTTCACTTCCGCTGCATCCAGCTTCTCCTTCCGGTCGGGGGTATACACGCCGTTGACCTCTTGCTCAATATCCGTAAGCTGCGTATACACAAAACCACAGCAATGTCCCCCTTCTACAATTCCCTTCATCATCTTCTCAATGCGCTTCAGCAGGTCTTTGGGATCTGTCGCTGTCGTGTAGCCCCAGTCACGCGTCCTATCCTCATCTCCTCCAGCAGCCTCGCGCGCAATATTCACGCCACCAAACTCCGTGCAGATGACCGGTGCACTAGGCGTGTGCTTGGAGCCTGGATCTGCCAAGTTCTCAATCGGCGCTAGAAACATGGGTCGATTAGCTTTCTTGCCCAAGATACCATCCAGAGTCTTGCACGTATTGGTGAGCTCATCTGCATCAGCGTAGTCGTGGAATGTGGTTAGGTCTGTAACCACGTGTTCCCAGCCACAGTTGTCGTTTACAGGCCTTGTGGGATCAAGCACTTTGGTCGCGTAATACAGACTTCTGATGTGATCTCTCTGCTCTTTACTCGCGCCCAAGTCAGTGTACGCCCACGATTCATTCACCGGCGTCCACGCGACAATGCACGGATGGTTGCGGTCTCTCAAGACTGCCTCGCGCCACTCTTGGTCCATGCGCTGCACGTAGTCCTCCGAGAAGGCGTATGCATTTGCCATTTCGCCCCAGACGAGGAAACCGAGACGGTCGGCCCAGTAGTGGAAGATTGGGTCTTCGACTTTTTGGTGCTTGCGGCAGCCGTTGAATCCCATGTTTTTGCTGAGCTCGATATCGTATTTTAGGGCGGATGAGCTGGGTGGCGTCATGAATGTTGTGGGCCAGTAGCCTTGGTCGAGGAAGAGGGCTTGGAAGTAGGGGCGGTTGTTGAGGCGGAAAGTAGAATTGTTCCAATGGAGAGAGCGCATGCCAGTTGTAGTGTGAATGGTATCGATTGGCGTTTCCAAAGATGCTGAGTATAGGCGGATGGTTATTCCGTAGAGTGTGGGGTGCTCAGGGGACCAAAGCGCAACATTGTTGAGCCAGGCTATGGGGTCGGAAAGGGGAGCGGTAGATGTAAGCTCAGAGGGCAGTTGAGAAGTTTGCGTGGTGGAGAGACGCATGTTTGCTGTGAGAGAGACGGCGTCTGCGTCTTGGGGCAGAGCAGTCTTCTCAGTCTTGCTCACCACGACACCGCCTAGGCTGGCTTCAAGCTCAACGCTGTAGTTGTGCCCGGCTGGCCGTCCAAGCACCTTGATACTAGCATGCAGATTTCCACCTTCAATTTCATTGCTCTTTAACAAAGTTCCGGTACTCGCGTCTCCAATCTGGACAGGCGGCACCGACTCAAGCCACACGTTCTGCCAGATACCGCCGCTTGGTGTATAGAATATGCTCTCTGGCTGGGCCTTCCAATATTGCTTACCACGCGGCTGCGTGAGATCGTGAGCAGAATCAAAGACCCTGACAGTTATTCGGTGAGTCTTGCCTTTCATAAAGGCGTCTGTGATGTCAACATCAAATGGGACATGTCCGCCACGATGGCCACCGTAGAATTGCCCATCGACCCAAACCTTGGCTACATAGTCAACAGCTCCAAATCTTAGCACCAATCTTTCTCCTGCATCTCGTTTCTCACTGGTCCGCAAATCCTCAACATCTCTCTCATACCAAAGCACCTCATGTACACCCTTCTCTTCAATCCCTGAAGCCGGACATTGGAATACATACGGGACCTGGATATCCCGCTTCTTGTGCACCTTGTGTTCATTTTTGAATTGATTGCCTTGTAACAGCTCCTGTGTTCCAGCAGCGATCCTGGCTGTGATACTGTGTGCTTCGGTGTTCTCCGCGCTGTTAGTGTTGGTGGGGTTCACGGTGACTTCATCGGGGATGCCGTTCAGATGCCAGCCCCGCGTTATGCCAACATCGTTATCGTCGAAGAGGAACGACCAGGTGCCATTCAGAGATATCCAGGTCAGGTCTTCCCGAAGGAAGTCAGGGCGAGGATAGGTGGCTGGTGGTGCTTGCGGCATGGTGGTAAAGCAACAGATTCAATTGGTGAAGTGATGACTGGCGAGGTGAGCTCAAGACGGATACGTGATACAAAAGTTAGCATGCACGTGAGACTTTATGCCGAGTGGTGGAGGTGTGGGGAAATAGACTGGGTCCACTGAGCACCAAGCTTGTTCGAGACTAGTCAACTGTGAGAATTCGTGGACATGCAGAAGGAGCGTCACTATTCGATCACCAATGCAGTTACACCTTCTCAGGTTGTGCGAAGGCTATCGCATATCTCACGACTAGGTAGCTTGACTTTGCTACGTGAGGATAAAACTATCCCAAATCGGTGTGGTATCATTCCTTTTGTAATACGAAATACATGAGATAGTAAACCAAGTTTTCCTTAGACGCTGGAGGCCCTGCGTAACGCCGTAACATGATCATAACTCATGACAGATTCAATGCGATGAGCCGAAAAACCCAGAAAATTCCGTTCCTTCCAATGCCGATGATGCGCTTACTCTGCATCCGACTCTTGTTCCGCAGTCTGTAACAGGGGTTAGCATTATGGTCTTCTTCCAATATATGATTAATGTTGCTTACGTTGTCGTGAAAGTTCGTGCCGTGCGTGGTCTCATTGATATAACCCTTTCTGATGACAAAGTCACCAAAGTGTTCACCTTCATTCCTTTCTCTGGCGTATTGCTTGATCATTGGTTGCATGATCTCTAGGATCTCCTCCTCCTTGATGGAACTCCTGTACAGCTTGTTCAACCTTTGGCCGTGGTAGCCACCACCAAGGTACATGTTGTACGCGCCGTAGGCTTTGCCAACGAAAGCGACCTCAGCGAGCCATGGACGCGCGCAGCCGTTGGGGCAACCAGTCATACGCATGACAATACTGTCTTGGCGAAGACCGGACTCTTCAAGTGTGCCCTCGAGCTTGGAGATAAGCTCAGGTAGATAACGTTCCGACTCAGCCATGGCGAGACCGCAAGTTGGGAAGGCAACGCAAGCAGAACTAGATAGCCTCATGCCCGAGAAGTTGGTGTTATCAAGCTTCCACTTCTTCAGTAGTTCCTTCATAGCAGGCAAGTCCTCGTCGGCGACATTTGCGAGGATCAAATGCTGGTTACCAGTCAACCGGAATTCGCCCTTGTGTGCCTTGGCCACTTCAATCAAACCAGTCTTCATAGGGAAGTCAGCAGTATCCTCGATGCGACCGTTCTCAATGAAAAGGGTGAAGTGGTTGAGGCCAGTCTCGTCCTTTTGCCAACCGAAGGTGTCGATGTTGCTTTGGAACTTGAAAGGCTTGGGCTCAGCAAATTTCTGACCCCAAAGCTCCTCAACCTTTCCAATGAACACGTCAACACCCATGTCATCGATGGTGTACTTGAGACGCGCATGCTTCCTGTTCTTACGATCGCCGTGATCACGCTGGACGAGCATGATTTTCTCGCAAACAAGGTGCACTTGATCGGTAGAGACGTAACCGAACATGGTTCCAGTCCTTGGGTAAGTCTTCTTGTTGTTGTGCGTTACACCCATACCACCACCGGCAAGTAAGTTGAACCCTTCGAGGTTTCCATCTTCGCCCTTGATTGCAATGAGACCAATGTCGTGAGCATAGACGTCGGTGTCGTTGTGAGGAGGGATAGCGATGGTGATTTTGAACTTTCGAGGAAGGTAAAGAGGTCCGTAAAGCGGCTCGTGGTCTTGGACAGCTTCACCGGCAATCTTACGCTTTTGTTTTGTCTCGTCATCCTCGAGCCAGATCTCGTGGTAGGCGGTGGTGGAAGGAAGGAGGTGATCACTGATCTTCTGGGCGATGGTTTGGACCTGGGCGTGGTACTTTGACTGTGTGGGGAGAGAGCTGCACATGACGTTTCGGTTGACATCACCACAAGCAGCGATAGTCGTCATCAAGGCCTTGTTGATAGCTTGCATAGCTGGCTTGAGCTTTCCTTTTACAACGCCGTGGAACTGGAATGTTTGTCGGGTCGTGAGCTTCATGGTCTCGTTTCCAAGCTTCGTGCTGATCTCGTCCATCTGGAGCCATTGCTTGGGCGTAGAAACACCACCAGGAAGTCTGCATCGGATCATGAACGAGTACGCAGGCTCAAGACCTTGTGCTTTGCGCTCGTCACGGAGATCACGGTCATCCTGCATATATGTACCGTGGAACTTGGTTAGTTGTTGGTCGCTTGCCGAGATCGCACCAGTGCTGGTGTCAGCTAGGCCTTCTTCGATAGTACCTCGAAGGAAGTTTGAAGCAGCCTTCATGTCCTCATTGGTAAGCGGCGCTGGCTCCTCTGGTAGGTTCTCTACGTTGGCAACGCCAAGTTTCTCCCAGAGCTTTGGCTCCCAATCGGCATATGCAGTCTGATAAGCGTCTGGATCTTGGTCATCTCCAAGACCACAGTCGACCATGGGCTTACCGCCAAGGGCAAGTAGACGCGCGTGGAGATCCTTGGCGGGCTTGTTGTAGTAGATTTTGTCTTCTTTACGGGGCCAGTAGTGGCTGTCGCCGAGACCAAAGACACCAAAGTTCACTGTTGCGAGATCTAGATCAGTGGAGTCCTTGACGGTTTCCCAGAAAGTGCGACCGTTCTGCGGGAACTCTCCCTGGCCAGCAACACTGGTCATCAAAATGACGTTCTGCTCGTTGGGCAAGTCTTCGATCGGGAAGTCGTCCATGGCCATGACCATGGTCTTGAGTCCCCTGGCCTTGCCTCGGTTTCCCAGACGCTTCGCTAGGTTCTCAGCGTTACCGTTGTCGGAAGCGAAAAGAATGGTCATTGGGTCGCCTTGCAGGCCTTCGAGAAGCTTGCTGTACGCGTCCTTGGCCTTGCGCTTCTGTAGCTGCCTAACCTCAGTTCCGTAGGATCCGGAGATGTTTGATGAGAACTCAGGGTGTCTCTTCATGACCTGAGACATGTAGTTGTCGCGCGAGAGGAATTCCTCCAGTTCCTTCTTGATGCGTTCGGAGTCAAGCTTGAAGTTATCTTCGCCCTTCTCCTCTGCTCGGGGATTCCAGCGGTACAATGGCCAGTAGCCCAGGTCAACGGCCTTCTTCGTCTCTTGAAGAACAGTGAGAGGTGTATCATTTTCCTTCTCATACGGCAAGTACGCAAGGACAACGGAAGGTCCGTCGAACTTGTCGGCCTCAATCATGGCCTCCAGAACCTGAGTGTAGGAGCTGTATACCGCAACTGAAGCTACGTATGCGTTACCAAAGTTCATCGCATATAGACCGATGTCCTTCTTCCGCCTCGCCGCATCAGCGGCAGCACGCTCAGAGTAAGGGGTTGAGTCGACAATGAGCATGTTGACGTTTTCGCCGGATGCCAGGACGTGATGTACACCAGAGTTTCCAAGATCGTATGCCCAAGCATCCGATCCGACTAACCATGGAGACTCCTTGTAGAAAAGCTTTTTTGACGACAAAAGCTTGTTGGCGATGGGCGAGCCATCAGTGCTCAAGCGAGCAATGACTTCAGGGGCAATCTCGTCAGACTTGTCACCGTCATCAGCGTTGAGTGCCCATTTTGAGAGCCACTGCTGCGATGCGGGTGTGGTGAAGTCATTGCCCTTTGCTGCAGCCGCAGCCTCATCTACCAGTCGCTTCCGGTGCTCCTTGCGTGCTACTAGGGAACCAAATCCATATTCTGGGGTGGCGGAGATGTCGTTGGAAACGCCAGCGTGCTGTGAACCAAGCTGGTTAGCGATATGAAGTTTGTCACCAAAGATCTGGTTCAAGATCTTCATGTAGGCATTCTCTAACCCTGGTTGTTCAGCCTTGACGGCCTGTGCTTGTGGTCCATCGAGGTTGCCGATGACAAGATTCTGTACTGGTGTCTCACTCATGAGATTCTGGAACACACCACGCATTGCTTGGGCGACGGTCTCCTCGTTGATGTATCCCAACTGATATCCAACAACAACGGGTGACGCGCCACCAGTTGACTTCAAGGACATGAGCAGGTCGAGGAGAACAGGTCCCCATCTAGTGGTCTTTCTCCGTACTTGCTCAAGCACGGCGATTCTCTTGAGCGAGCGAGGTAGCATGGGTGCAAGCGATGCGCCCAGCCAGGGACGGTACAACCGCGCTGTGATGATGGCTGTGTTGGCATAGGCCTTGGTCTCCTCGACACTGTCAAGTTCAGTGGCGAAGACGGCAGTGTCGGCACCAAAGAGGAAAATGGCCGCCTCCTCAGTGCCTGTTCCGGAAAAAGCAAATGCGTCGTAGCTTCGTCCGGTTATGTCCTTGATGGTTCCCCAAATCTGTGTGGCAAATCGGTAGATGTCCTCAGAAGAGACAGGCTTCGACACCAACGACTCTACGGTAGTTGCGGAAGAGGCAGACGCAGCGCTAGTACTGGCATCGCGGTGTGATGAGCCTGAAGAAGAATCACCTCGCTGGCTGTTCCTCTCTGACACTGGAAGCGACTTGGCCTGCTCAGGAGCAGTTGCTGGCACTGCTGTTGGGACAGCGTTCACGACTTGGCTCCGAGCAAAGGACAAGGTAGATGACCTGCCGTCGTCTGCATATAGAGTCGTCTCATCCGATTTCGAGTTCTGGTAAGCCGCGACCGCGTCTAAGTCGATGACACTTCGCACCAGATCGGCATCTTCCACCTCAACAGCCTTCTTAAAGGCGGTTGCGCCAGCATCGAAGAAGTGAATGACACCCTTGCCAGACTTGATAGCCAAAGCATGGGCTGTCAAAGCAAGATCCTGCAATTCCTGTAGTGTCTCCGACTGAATGAAGGCGAATCCGCACTGTCTGATGGAGGTGATGTCGGAGAAGTCGGGGTAACCTGAAGGTGCCACCGACACATGAAGGACAACGGGGTATTGGGCGAGTTTGTAGAGGTGCGGTATCGATTTTACGAGGATGGACGAGGTCGTGGTCACGCTGGTGAGTTTGCCTGCGCGAATGGGCTGGAAGACTGAAAGGAGCGGATCCGCGTTTTGGCGGACAGTGAGGATCTGGGAAAGAGGGTCAGTACAATGCTGTTTGATTACAAACAACTACATGCGCATACCTCTGGCTGCGTCTTGCAGACAACGCTGGGCGCATTGTGCTTTTGGAGTCCGCGCAGTGCCTCGGAGAACTCGGATTCGGTCGTCAAAGAAGGCACGACCGACACAATCACGTCGGAGGTCAAGTGGGCAATTCGGGCCACTAGAAGAAACCAGGCGTCAGTACATTGTACTTTGTCAAATATGCAATTACTCCTTTGGTGAGGGAGGGGCAAATGGCGGGGTGGGTGTTTTGCGGGGACATACCAGCCTCTCCTGCAGTCGAGACAGACGCCATATTGACTGCGGATTCAGAGTTGACAGTAACAGTAAGGAAACATCTATGGGGCAGAAGAGGAGTAATAGTAGGATTTCGGAACGTCGGCGACAGTCCTCATAGTCAGCGGCAATGGAAAAATTGCCCATGAACAGGTCATCACAACGCGTGCCGAAAGCACGCAATCTTTTAGTGCAATTCAGGGTCTGGGGCAAGAGCCGAAATGCGGCGAATCACATGGGCATAGATGCGAACTCGGTGCAATCCCTCAGCCTAGATGGTCGTGACGGGCTCGAGGCGAGACTGTAGCCCGAATTTCATCCATAGCGCATCTGGTGGTGGAGTCGCGTCTGGTCGTAGGTCGGACGCTTACTCTACGGTGCATGAGTGGCCAGGTGACTTGGAGACAGGCCGCGCTAGGCCGCATGTGGGCGTTGCCGAGGATGCTCTTATCGATTACATGCTACCTCCACCCGTTCGGCTTGCTGTTCTGGCAGCCGGCATGCATCATGGCTGATGGCATCAAACTGCACACCCCGAACGACCAATAGTCGACACAGATAATCTTCCGTAATCGCATACATCTGATGTCGTGTTTAGCGCCGCTCTCGCACTTGCAATGAACACCGCTTCCGGCTTCTCAGATCCCCTTGTCACCAATACCCCGCCACCTTTCAACGAGCTATGCGCACGCATTGATGACCGCATATCCACCTTCCTGGACGCAAAGCATGTATCAGACCGTATCAAAAACGTGCAGGAGCAGACGCGTACATCGCTGGAAGTCATAGCAGAGGCACTGGAAAGATACAGGTGTGCCTCAACCATTCAGGGGCAATATATCGACGCTATGATACTGACGGCTATGCAGTTTACCAGAACTGTCATTATCCTATAATGGCGGAAAAGACTGTCTTGTTCTGCTCATACTATACCTCTGTGGCATGCACAGGCGAGGCCTGACCCAAACCTCCAACCCGTCGTCCAACATCGAAACCGCCGTACAAATGCGTCTACATACAGGACGCGCACCCCTTTCCAGAGGTAGAGGAGTTTGTCGTACATAGCAGCAAGATATATTCACTCTCCCTTTTGGAATACGCAAAACCGATGAAGGCTGCATTTGCAGATTACCTCAAGGATACTCCGTCAGTCAAGGCGATATTCGTAGGAACCCGACGGACAGATCCGCATGGCCAGCACTTGACCCATTTCGACCCAACCGACTCCGGGTGGCCTGCATTCGTACGAATACATCCCGTAATAGACTGGCATTACGTAGATATATGGACGGTAGGAGACACATAGCAGTCGTGTGCGTTCGTCGCTAAAACCCCCAGTTCATCCGATACCTCAACATCCCTTATTGCTCCCTATACGATCTTGGCTATACTTCGTTAGGTGGAACTACCGATACGCACCCGAACCCGAAGCTGGTACGGCAGCCATCGACACAACAAGTGCCACAAGTTGGGGATGCGAATAATACACTGAAGCCTAAATTCAGGCCAGCGTATGAACTAGTGGATGATTACGAAGAGCGGTTGGGTAGAGATAGATAGGCAAAATATCATTGGTTATACGCACTCGCATGGGCTATGGGCACTTTCTATGGTACTGGTTCAATAGTCTGTATGCTCAATTCGGTCCTCCAGGTCAACCCCCCTATCCCTTTCCTCAAACGTCATCTTAGAAACATTATTAATTCGAGTACATAATGTTGTTTAAACTACAATCTTATAGGAAAGTAGCTGCCGAATCTGGAATCCCAAACGAGACCCCCCCCCCTTTGCTCCACTCGACATGGAGAGTTCTCGGGGATACCTTTCTTTTTTGTTTAGAAAACATATGAATTGGTCATGTTGAAGATGTCCTCTTGTTCGAAACCACACATAAGTCAAAGATTATGCCATCGGAAGTTATTTTTGCAAGTCATCAACATATTCGTCATAGAAGACCCTGGCATTGGCTGATAGCGGAAAGTGGGTGTAAGCGATCGCTAGAACAGAAGGCGCACTACGGCACCTAAACTATGGTACATGAAATGTTATTATTGCCGCTAGAAGCTGCAAGGAAATGATCATAGGCCTTTGAATATTATTTCTCTCATATTGTACCACAAAAAATCTACGTGACGTGACACAAACATAAACAAACTTCATTTCGGTTTGCGGCAGGGCGGTAAGTTAGGTTAGTAACCACTGAACCTGAGGTGCTTCAATATACCCACCGACCAAGATTGCGCTCGCAAAGACATCGCCAAAAGCCTGGGCGGGAGAATCTTGAGGCTTCTGCCTCGCAAGTAAAACGGACCGGAAACTTTCTCCCTCATAGGAGGCCATTGTATGGGAGCAAATGATTCTCGCGGTACCCGTAGGTATGAGCTCCACCCATGTGACCAGCTCAGGAGTCCATTTCACGTCCCATGTCACCAGCGTGGCCAAGACAGACGCGCCTGACATGGTGTCAATACGAAGCTGTAGGGCCAGTTTGTGGTCTTCTTCTGCTTCCGCTTCGGCGGCGCCATAGAACCCAGTGTGAACCCGTTCTCGCACCATTGCTGTATACCAAGGTCCAACAAGCCCGGTACCATTGAACTTGTAAAAGAACGCATCTTGACTCTGGCCCTGTTGCCGAGCAAGATATCTTGGAGCCCAAGAAAATGGCTGTGCAAGGCCACGTAGATTATGCATCGAAGCCAGCATTGCTACTTCTTGCGGTCGCGAATGGTACATGTGTCGGATGCCATCTTCGTAGTTCCAATCTTTATGCCACTGCAGTCCGAGCAATGCGTAGAAGCCACGCGCATAGTCGATATCATTCTCAGTGTTGCGATTTGTCGAGGACAGTGCAATGTCTGCAAGATTGATTCCACTCTCATAAACTGGCTGTAGTCTCTCAAAGGTTTTGCAAAGTGAGTCCCATCTTGCCCGGTCAACTTGAGCTTGCGCTTGAAGAGCAGATCGTATGTTGTCGAGGCTAACCACGCTCGTAGCTGTCACTATCAACGCCTTCTTGGCTAACTTTGCTTCTTGATATGTCCAAATACGCGTCAACCACAACCCGCACACTAGAGCTGGAGCGACCCGCAAAGGATCCGCAGAAGGGAGGTTCAGAGCAAAGGAATCCAGTACAATGGCCGCGTCTGCATTGCGATACACTGAATCAAGGCTGTTGATGACAATATTTTTGACTTGTGACAAGCGAAAATCGCTACTGCCGGGGTTTGTCTTCTTCGGGATAGCCAACAAGTCCAGCCATATCCACTCATAACCACACTGAAGCGCCTTGCTCATTATCTGGTTGAAGTGTGACATCAGGAGGCCTCGCTCATCTTGCTGAACCTTTTCGTCGTTGAATTGCAAGCCCATGGTCTCTGCCCAAACGTGCGAGATAGCTGCGTAGGACGAACTGAGTATTCTAAACTGTCCCCACTTGTTTACGCATAGAGCTTGTCTCCGTCGTCCAGCTTCTTCCATAAGATCGAGAGTTGTCGATACAAAGAGTGAGGAGCTTATCACCTCCTTATTTACCTCTAAGATTCCAGATATCGCTTCCTTTCGTTTCGCTTTTGTCATCCGGGGCATGGTCAAGGGCGAGGTAACGAGCGCCAATGTATTCGCGATACCCATTAGTGCCACTTTGCCGGCCAACTCGACATAGCGTTTGTTTCCTGGTGGTGGATAGCGAGCCTCAGGCCCCAGAGGATACAGCCGTCGATCCGGTAGCGGTGGATAGTCATGGAATAGCGCAGCCACTTCATCAGGAGTCCAATTGCGAAACTCATTGAGAGAAGCTTGGAGAGCTCGCTGCGGTCCCGAGTAATTCGTACATATCAGTTCTCGTATCTTCTTTCTTCTAGCGAAGACAGCTTGTTGATCGTCGGTCCAAGTCAGAGGAACGTGGTTCAGAGCCATTTTGCGAATTGTGTAAGAGTGGGGAAATGCAAGGTGTTCGCACAGCAAGTTCGCACACCTAAAGATTCTTCAGGTTGCGCCTTTCACCCAAGTTATAATCTCCATTGTATCCAATAACGACTCCATGGCGTTTTCTCAAGCGTGTGATTGGTTTTGCATGCACGTGTTGCGGAAAAGTTAAGGATTGTACGAGGCTCAGACGTCGTGATCGGTTAGCGTTGGTTCAGCTCGTTCAGCTGGCAGGGGCGCTGGAGCCACGATCAACATATTCCATCGTGCAATTCGCCGGCCAACCCACCAAGCTCAGCGCACTTTGCAGATCAAGTCAATGTGCCGAGGCATGTTTTTCCGTTGTCCGCTTATGTTGGCCTGTCCTATTCATACTCGCCTTCCCATGCATGACTTCAGGCAACTCTCTATTAGGCAACTCTCTAAGCCACTGACTGCACAGCCCGTAACACAAAAACACGTTTATACAAATTGATTTGGCGTTTCAAAGAATACACTTTCGTTGCCCTCGTCTATCGGTGAAAACTGCACACTTTTGGTGATGCCTGCACTTCCTGCTCATCTCGTCCGCCGCGTTCTCGACTTCGGGGCTTCTTCACAAGAATTCTCCGCGCAGTGGAAGAACCCATCGGACGTTTTTTCTGTTCTTCTCATACTCGGCGGCGATGTGGTCGCTCGCGCCCTCGCACAGCTTGCTGGCTCGGGTATCACACCTGTGGCATTCTCATTTGGTAAGTTTTCAACAATGTGCGATACAAGAGGCATGTATGGTCTCACCGCTGGTTGGATGTCGCTGTTGACATTACGCCCACGAATGCAGGATGGGTAGCCTACGCTGTCACGGCCGTCGTCTCTGCCGTTGGCGAAAATAAGCTCATGCCGCTGCCCGACTGCGCATGCAAAGTGATTAACGGAAAGACTGGCTACGTACGAGATAACTGCAGTTGGGTTCTTGGCCGTATAGTGAGGGACTACGAGAGCTGGATGGATGCCGGAAATCCAAATGGAGCAATACACGCTCGCGTCAACAAAATGATCGATGATAAATGGGCGAAAGAGATGTCAATGTCGGGATCCGCTGTTGAGAAACCCACACAAGCTGGTCTCTGCGTATCTGTTTATAGCGCGGAGAAAGCCCGGCCAGGTCATTTACGGGTCAAGGACTACATAATTGGCCTTGCGACGGCTGTAATACAGCTACTCATGGGTGCAATTCCATGCTTCTTATTCGGAGACTGGTCCGTTCTGCTAGTCACAGCTGCGGGTATGTTCCTGGTTCTGCTCAGCGGCAGCCTCTCCCAGTGGGCGAAAGAGAAATGGGCCTGCCGAAAAGACTCCAAGAAGACTGTCATTCTGACTAGAGGCAACGGTAGTCAGCATGCCATCGTGATCATCGGACAAGCGAAGGGCTTAGATCTCGAGGATCTGGCTGCAGGACCCATGAACGTCAACGTATCGGCATCGTACAAAACCAGGGTTACCGTCATTGGACTCGCTTTATGCTGGATCCTATTACTTATCACTGCTGCTGGCATACAAGAAAATACTTGGTTTCTTCTTGCCGTTGGAGGGATCGGCATCGTCCAGAACGTCTTCGTGGCTGGTTGGAAACGCCGGCCGGAAGACTTTGGCATTCCTCTGAAATTCGAAAAGGTTATCGGTGATGCAAAAGTGATGGAATGTCTACTGGAAGTCGAGAAAACCCTTCCTTATGTTGGGCGAAGTATGCGAGATACATTCTTCCCTGGTACCTTGAGGCCTGAGGAGAAGGCTAAATGGGATGCATTGGAGACTAACGCAAAGGACCGCGAAAAGGATATGGCCAAAAGTTCATAGTCGAATACCTAACGAACCACTTAACAGGCCTCTACATACTCGGGGCTGCATTCTATATAGATACCTATACTATCATGCAGCGAGAATTGATAGAGTGCTGCTCAGGGTTGGGTATATAAGTAGTTCGTTCCCCTTTACGGAAATTTATATCCACAGTGACTCACCCAGAGTCTACTGATATGAGTCTACGTACCACTCAATGGCGGGTCATGAAGCAACCTCTAAGAGTAATGCGAATAAATGACAGGTGGTGTCGTTCCAGTCATGATCCCACACTATTTGTCAGTTTCCTTATCGTAAGAAACGGACGTAATGCTAGAGTCTCGTCCTGCCCCCACTATCTTCTTTGCACTCAATGCGATCTCCTACTCCTCTTTCCTAAGAACCACAGACGGACACAATAGAATACGACACCGCACATCCAGATCCCCACGAGTATGGCAGCCTGTATGGGTGCAAAAACAGCGCCCCTTACTACGACGAAGCCACTGATCACAGCAAATAATATGGGGATGACGATGAAGGGTTTTACTGGCCGCGGCAGATCCGGTTCCCGAAAACGTAGAATGATAGCGCCAAGTACTGTTAGGAAGAAGAACGCGTATTCGGCGAGTCCGTTGAGTGTCAAGAGTATACGCATGTTCCCAAGTAGAATGTATACAGCGGATAGGACGGTATTGAGGATGAGGGCGTTGCTAGGGGGGATTAGATCTTCGCTGGGTGAACATGTCTAAATTTACTCACATTGGTGACTCGCCATTATCCATGGCCAAATTTGTAGGCTCATTTGCCTCGCTAGCCTTGCTGAGCTTGAAGGTACCAATACACCCTACAGTTCCCAACACATGTGGGAACCAGCTATTGTTCGACGCTGCGACAGTCATTCTTCCCGCAACGAAAGAATTACCAAGCGCCGATCCTGCAATGACAAGACAAATAAGCGCCGTGGCGAAGTAGGCAACGGACTTGCCAAGAAAGTATGTGACTGCAGTCTGGTGGGCGTCAACGTGGGCATTCAATATATTGAGATCATGCAGAAACTTACTACTGCTGCAGCATCGGTCGTTGATACTACTTCCCAAGGAAGCAGCACGTAGTAAACAGCGTTGGCCGCGACATAACAAAGTATGATAGTCGGTATGGCTGTGTTAATGGAGAGAGGTAGTTGACGGCTGGGACTTCGCAGTTCGGCGGCGACGTAATTGGCTTTGTCCCAACCAGAGTATGCCCACAGTGCCCCGTATAGGGCCGTGCTATAGAAGCCGAGTGACTCCCACGTGGTAACTTTCGTCCAGTCGAACAGAGACCCGTCAGGTAGTACAGTATTCCTTGGCGAAAACCAATTGCATTGGTGCCAGTCGCCACCCCCCAGGTCCTTGCTCTTTCCAACGAACACGAAGACCACAACGAGGCCAGCTATGATGAGGAGTAATATTGTAAGCAGCTTAATGGCAACAAAGAAGCTGGACAGGCGAGTGCTCGTCTTAGTGCTGATGGAGTTCATAGTCGTTACACAGACCAGAACAAGCAATGACAACAGTTTATGCGTCATGGGTGGGTCAGGCTCATTTACACCCAGGCTGGAGTAGATAGACTCTACAAACACAATGCTAAGGATAGCAAGAGTTGCTGGCATAGTTGCAACGACCCACGACCAAGCAGCCATATACCCAAACACATCGCCATAGATATACGACAGATAAGGTTGGATCCCACCTTCGCCCGGAAATGCGGTGCCCAATTCCGCCATGGTGAGCGCACCAGTCCATGCCAGTATGCCACCAACAAGCCAGATGATGAGTCCTGCGCCGGGTGAGGGAACATTCGCGTCAATGGGACCGGGTGACGAAAAGACGCCTGAGCCGATGACGATGCTTATCAGGAGCGCAAACCCATCCAGTGCACCGAGATTGCGCGCAAATGTACTTCGAGGCGCCGTAGGTTCTTCATGTTCTTCATCCGGGGCATATGAAGTGGTCGATTCTTGACGCAAAAGGGGTGTTGTTTCCGAAGATGCCATTGTTGAGATAGCAAGGTGCTGAGGGTTGCTCAGCTGATCGCTGCGTTTGCCGAGGAGGCTGCTTATCAACGTTCAGGTGGTATGGCTTTAGCTCCTCTAGTCCTGGTTAATCGGCGTACTGAACGTCGCACACGTTTGGCTCGTTGGAGTGTTAGTCCAGATACTTGAATATATCTACAAGTCGTGTGGAGAGGGAAGCAATGGTTTATGCGATCTTGCTGTCACGCGACGCGATCGCGTCAGAACGAAACCACGTTACGTCATCCCGAGCATTGAAACCCACTTCCTATGCTTGCGCACCATGTCAAGGTTGCTTGCGCAAGCTTCTTTCACAAACCAAATCTCATTAGTATCATGAAGTAACCGTTGTTATTCAGTCTGTCGAACGCTACGTCATTTTGCATATCGCAGCCTGAGCTTATCTTTTACGACTATGGTGCCTTGAACTCTATCCTCAGATCAGGCTGCTGCCCGTCTGATCTGCATACCAAGACGGTTCCATTCTCCGAGATAAGATTCCAGCTTGAGTACAAGAGGTAGCTATGCCTGTAGTTACAAACTGCCATCCACCATGGCTTCCGCACCTCTACCACTACTCCCTTGGGACAAATCCTCTATTCTCTCCTCTAAACAGTCCTCTGACTCATACAAGTCTATTCAGAAGACAGCTGTAGATCTGTTTGCTCTCGGATATCCTGAGTATGCGAACCAACTCATCAACACTCTATGGAAGTACGGCCATGGCTTGGAATTCGACTACGCGTTTGCCGAAGACACGCTAAGATGCATATACTATGCATGGGACGCCACCGATACAATCCCGTCATTTGCTAAGAATCCTAGCTTAGAAAAGATCCTCAATGGCCCTATTTCTGGCGAACAAAACGAAAAACGGCAAAGAGTAGTGGTTGAAGGTTGGACCGATGGGCTTCCACAAGATATGCGAGAGAGGATACTCAAGGGATCTCTGCGTGACGAAGACCTGCATATCACAACGAAACGTCTGAGATCACTCTCCGATGATAGCGACCTTGTGCCTAAAACAGATTATTTTACCCTTGCGGCATTGGTAGAGGTTGCTGTGCTGGCAGGCAGGGATGATGTAGCGAAGGAGTTGGTGCGACATGAAATGGCAGAGCGATATCGTCAGCTACAAGAAAAGAGTGGAGACAAGTACTTAGAAGAGTACGAGTTCCGGAAATGGCAAGACAGACATCTGGGCCTATCACAATCTCTGCGCATATGGAAGATCCTCAAGGATGTTGCACTGGGAAAGATTCTGCAAATAGACGAAGAAACACTAAAGAGATTCGTCCAAGAGGGCTGTGAGCTTATGGAGAAACGCTTCATTCACGGACCGGATCGCCCTCACGCGGATAAGTCGATACGTCAACTACTTCAGATTCTTGACCAGAATTACGTTGCAGCACGCAAACTAGATCCCGAATCAGGCAGGGTGATGAACGTTGTTGGGAACACAGCGCCAGACACGTTCTTACGACCCGGTGTGACTGAAGCGCAGATCGAAGAGCTTGAGAAGCGACTGGCACAAAACCCAGCACCGAACGCGGAGGACGATAAACCGATGCTACCCAATGGAAAGCTACCCGAAGATTACAAGGAGTTTCTGCGCATATCTAACGGATACTTCCCCGAAGGTAATCCAGATTCTGGGTTGTTATTCAGCCAGGAAGAGGTTGGTACCGCAGATTGTACGTTTCTCTGCGACGATTCTATGGATTTAGGATTCTCGCTTTTCCCTTACGACTACACATCGATACAAGGCATCGATAACATACAACTCGGTCACTTCGACTGCTTCACCATCGGTATTGGCGGCGATGAAGGAACTGTCATTCTAATCCCCCCTACTTCGGTAAAGCCAGCCATAGAGGCCTTTGAAGCTGCATACGCTGGCGCGAGCGAGGAGAACAAGAGAATATACGAACGTGGAGCGCTAGACTTGTATGGAGGGGTAGACGAATTGAGGAAGTTGGAGTGGCTGTGTATCAAGTGGGAGCATTGGAACACAGATCAAGAGACTTGGGGCGGATTCAAGGCCCATTTAGAGTATTGCGTTGATGTAGCAATCAAGGAGAGAAAAACAGAAGAAGGAAAAGCAGAGAAAAGAGAACGGGAGCGCAGACTGAGAGAGAACATTGGACAAGAGGACGAGGCAAAGGGTGGGAAGAGAAAACGCAAAAGTTCGAATAAAGGTGAGCCAAACAAAGCCACCAAGGTTGATGCAGTTGAAGGCTAAGCCGAGGCTATCCTAGAGAGCCAAGATGATGTTTTGAGTGTATATAATTGACGTAGCTAACGAGGACCGAACATTGAATTCTACCGTATAACAAGAGGATGATTAGCTGGGATTTTATGTTCACGTAGCCGTGACGGGCATGAAGTAGCTATCACTATTGTATCATGCAATGACTGTGGCTATCATGCCGCAATCCGACTTGCATTATTGGCATGTTTGGAGTTGGCTCGCCCCTCACCTTCCCTCGGCAGGAGGTCACCAACATTGCCTAGTGATCGTGTACGGTGGTACCTTGAGTATCTATGATGATTACGTGTCCTGATTGATTTGATGCTTGGATGAATGGTGCGTATATGTATACCTGTGCCGATGGAAATCTAGACTTTTGCTTTTCTCGACTATGAGATCCTGCTCGTATTTCACTGCACCAATTTGGCCCCGCACATTGCCATGATTTCCCGTATTCTTAATTTAGTCGGACAGTACGTCGAAGAAAGGTGTTCAAATCTGGACCTAGCGGGGTTCGCTACACATTGAGATAGGTACGTAATATCAATTTTATTTGCCACTTGACCAACCGTAACGTCTTTGTAGAGCCTGGAAACCTGTTCGCTAGCGTTCATTGCGATGCACTGACACATGTGAAATAAAAAGGCGGGGAGGTTAAGCTTAAATGCTAGTGCCCTGACAATCCAATGACGTTGGGTGGAACCTACGGCTTTGCATACTAGCGCGACCGTAAAGAGACTAGCGCTGTCCATCATCATGGCGACGTCATCCCTTCGGGAGCTTGTACTTTGTTTGCAGGCCTCTTAAAGTCTGGATCCCTTGTCGAACTTTCTCCCATCACACATTGCCATTTTGCAAATATCCAATTTCTCCAATTGCATTTGGACTCGTTCTCAACCTTGCCAATTCACAACTTAATCTCATCAATTTACCATGTTTTCAAGGCAAGCAACACAGAATGCACGCTTCGCAGCTCGCTGTGCACGTCGCCCAGCTGCGAGGGTAGCCAATCCTCAATTCCGCGCCCAAAAGCCTCGCTTTCAGTCCACAGAGTCAGCAAGCTCTAGCAACGCCGGCGCTGGGTCACATGCGGCAATTGGCGCTGTCTCTGGTGCTGCTGCCGCTGTGACCGTTGGATACATCTTTTACAGACAATCAGGCGTCCGCGATGTCGTTCAGGCTTCCAAGACTGCTAAAGGCTACGTTAGCTCGGCCACCAACAAGATCAAGGAGCAGACACCCGAGCCTAACGAGGCATTGCAATGGTTGCGACAGGCCGCTCAGAGTTACGCTGCTTTCATCCCCGGCGCAAAGAGCTATGTCGACTCCGCCTTTGATGATCTCGACGCTATCCGGGCTAAACACGGTAGTGAGGTGGACCAGATTGTGCGCGAAGCATATGACGAGATGCGACAGGTCCTCGGCAACGGCGACATGAGCCTTGTCACTGCACACAAGACCTGGGATGTTATCACCAAGCATCTGAGCCGCATCTCAGAGCTTGCTGGTGATGCTTCGCAGCAGATCATGGACAACCACCCTCAGCTCAAGGAAAAGTTGGGTGGTAACATCGACAAGCTCAAGGAGTATGGCGACAAGTACGGTCCTGAGGCCAAGAAGGAGGTCGACAGGACATGGCAGCAAATCAGCGATGTAGTCAAGACTGGCATGAGCGCGTCGAACATCGAGAAGATCAGGAACATTGTACAAGAGAAGGTTGAGAAGCTGAAGAAGATGGGTGATGAGGCGTGGAACAAGGGTATGGAGCAGGCCAAGCCCTACCTCGACAAGAACCCTCAGGTTAAGAAGATCGTCGAGGAGAACGCTGATGTGTTGAAGGGAGGTAATGTTCAGGAGCTATATCAGCGCGTCAAGTCCGCCGTCGAGAAGGGTGACACCGGTGACCTTGAGTCATACGTCAAGAGCGCTGCAAACAAAGCGAAAGAGTCTGGGTTCGGCGACTATGAGCAATACCTCAAGAAGATTCCTGGTGGTGACCAGATTCTACCCAAGCTGAGTCAGCTCCAAGAGGCGGCACAGAAGCACGGTGATGAGGCGCAGAAGATTCTCAAAGACACTGTCTCTGAGATCTCCGAGATCTTGCAAAAGAAGAGCGACGAAGCGTCCAAGTTGGCGGACAAGGCCAAGGAGGACACAAAGAAATAGAAGCTGCCACTCCTATGACGCGGCTGGAGGAGGGAAGGACTTTACGACTATGTGATCTGTACGATAATGCATGATTGGAATTGATTGTATGCATAGCAAAAAGCCTACATGATTATATAATAAATACTACCAAACAGCAGCACCTGCCCACACACAATACGAAGTATTCGCCCAGCATCTTGACACTATATCTAAAGACTCCTTGCTTCTCACATACTGAACAATATCCAGAAAATACCAAACGGTGACAGTCGTAACTCGCATTTTGGGATCGCTTGCCGGCAATCTTCTCGTGTCTCACCTAGTAACAGGCGCCAGTATTCGTGTCCCTGACCCTTACTGCGCCGGCTTTGACACACCTAACCATAAACTCAACACACCTCTCTTCCATTGCCTTTTCCACAGTTTACAATACAACACCGCACAGGTGCGTGTTCAACTTCTCCCTTCTCAGCCTATATGCCTGTGTATTCATCTTTCAATTAGGAACAGCGCAATTGATCTCCAACTTCTGCAGGGCTGACAAAGTGTAAAACCCAGGGTTATACACCGACGGGTCCTAAAACTCCTCGCAACGTATAGTATCACCCAAGACATAAGCACGTATTAGAATGTACACGTCGATGTGGACGAGATGGCCTAGATGCATGTATATGTTGAGTGTGTGCAAGCCGGCGAGGTACGGCATCCAGTAATGGAGACCGTTGTAGGACCAGAAGTTTGAGTTGTCCAAGACAACGTCTGCGATGCTAGCGCGAGCGATCGGGCCAATTTGGTCGAAGAAATCGATGTACGGGGCGCCGTTCGGACCTACCACGTGAAACATATGCTTAGCTAAGAAGTAGCTGCGGTACTCTTGGTGGAGTTCACGGTTCGCCCATGACGTGTTGAGGAGCTGGGTAACTCGACTGTCTGGTATCTGCTTCTTCTCCGGTGGTGGCTTCCGAGATTGAGCAACCATATAGTGCATTGTCAATGGGAAGACCATGACTTTTCTTGTGAATGGAACAAGACCTTGGTGACGTACGACGATGAGGCGGTCGTTGTACAGAAGGTAGTTGTAGATCTTGTTGCGTATCTCACCAGGAAGGTCGAAGAAGGTATGGCGCTTGGTGTCGACGGTGTTCTCGATATGTGGTTTTGCGCCGCCGTACTTCTGCTGTTCGATGAGGACATGAATGATTTCCCTTTTCTCGATCAGACAGCTGACATTAAGGCCTTCGGCACGGGCCTGCTTTCGCAGTTGAGCCGCGATGCAATGCTGCTTATTGGTATCTTTGTGGCGTTGAGAGAAGGTGACGTAAGGCAGGGAAACAATGGTTGGTTTCGAGGCTAACATTGTGGTTACTGTTACGATGGCAAAGATAGATCGTATGAAGTATCACGTGGAGAGATGGCGTCAAGTATATTCTAGTAGACAGCGCAACTTGGCAGTTGTTGGGTTCTTCGAGGAGAGTAGATATAGAGAGCT